GGAACTGGATCATTTCATGGAGCATTTCTGGGAATCGCTGCCTTAAGCCTGGTTGCCACTCAATCAGAGGGCACAAATACATACAGACAACTTTTCATACTGAAGTGTGCAAAATGGTGAAAAGCTTACATATTTAGAAATGAAGTACACAAAGAGGGAGGTAAAAGTAAGAAGACAAACCATGACAACGCATTGTGAAGTGGGATGGAAAGTGAGAGGGTAACAAGCTCTCGTCCCGGCTGGTACATTCAAAACGGTCGGGCCATAGAAGCCGTCACCACACAAGTCAGCCTTTAAGGTCCAGTCTTGATGGGTCTCATTTTGCTGCAAGAAATGAGAACCGATGATCCACATACTTTTTCACTTCTTGGAAGTATACATTGCGATTATAAAGAAGGTTTAATAAATGAGTGCTGGATAAACAACTCACCAGAGGTATATCTTGTGTGACAGAATGCTGAGCGGGTGAACTAAAGTCCAAATGAACAGATCCTCCCTAAAGTAACCAATATTACAACAACAACAACAAAAAAACATGCTTTTTTTTTTTTTGTCAATTAACTAGTACCAAAATTAAAGTACAGTCATCGCTCAACTATCTTTGGAAGCTTTCCCCAGCTATTTGCTGAAACGCTCACCTCCTTGCGTTTTGTGTGTGCTTTTTGTTTGGTCTGAATTGCCCTAAGGTGCCACAAGTTGCCCCCAAGGACTTCTTTAAAAGGATTTGGTTTTAAAGAACTATGATGGAGTGATACATCTTGACTGAATTAAAAGCTTTGTATGTCTCGGGGAGGAAGTAAATTGAGCCTGGGTTGTTAGTGGCGGCCCAGATCTGGCCCCGGGCCTTGACTTTGACACCTGTGGTTTAAACTATTAGTATTGGTAATTAGAAACATTTTTTTTGCAAGGGTGACAAGCGTGTTTTTCGCTCTATGGGGGCAGGGGGGGTCTTGGTCATACTGTAGTAGATAAACATTAAAATATCAATGCTCTTCACACATTTGCATAAGTCCCCGATTACGTCAGTACGTACTAGTGAGGTGACCAGCGCCTCCCTTTTTTATGGATTTTTATGAACTTTAAGGACCCATCTGAACCCTGCGTCCAGAAAGTAGCGTGATAAATAACACAGTTCTGATACAAACAAACGGCATTCCGCATTTTTCCACACAATCGTGATCTATTCAAACAAACATTTCATATATCTTTGAACCCAACTATGACAAGGGAAGTTTTAAATCAAATGTCGGTGTAAAATAACAACTACATAGTGGTGTTAACTCACAGATAGGATCACAGTTCAATCCACCGTATGCGCAATGTGCGTACCTGCAGGATTCTTCCATATGTTGGTGTCTTTCTTTAGAGGCATCGTCACAGTGCTGGGTACAGTAAAGTATCGAGGCAATGAAACCTCCACGCTGTACACGACCCCGTTTTTGTAGTCAACACCTCTCATTTGGCTCTAGACATGAGGTTAATCAGGATAGCGGATATTCAGTAGAGTGAAACGTTTCCCCTGCACCTCAAGAAGCAAATAATAGCCCTGTCAATCATGTTTCATCATCCTCCACAGGGTTCCCACTCTTCCACTTGCTTTTTATTTATGGAATTTTTAAGGACATTTGAGGGCTAATTTAGCCATTTGATAAGGACTTTTTCTCCATTCAGCAGGGGATTCAGGTGGATTTAATGCCCGCTCGGCAATATGCGGGCTGAACAGAAAGCCACATCTCACTGAGCTGGTGTTCAAATCATTGCTGCCAAAGGAAGGGCACATCTTTATTTTTAGGGGCAATCAGCTAACCCTTTTTTTGACATAATGCATGTCAAATTTTCATTTTCCGACCAAATGAAAAAAACTTGAATTCATTCTCAAATAAAGTACACTAAGAAAAAAAATAAATTTAGAAAATATAAAACTGCAATTCATTTTCGAATAAAAATAATTTTTAAGGATTTTTATTGATTTTAGAAGCTTTTCCTGAAAATTAAGGACAATTAAGAACATAATCTTACAGCTTTTTTATGGATTTTTATGAACTTTAAGGACCCATCTGAACCCTGCGTCCAGAAAGTAGCGTGATAAATAACACAGTTCTGATACAAACAAACGGCATTCCGCATTTTTTCAGTTTTGTTTGAGGAAATTTCTTCAACTGATTCCTAAATTATACGATACCGTCAACTTGCATCATCCCCTGTCAAACACAAATAATTGATTCTGAACTGCTGCAGGTGAAGCACGTGGCACACTTGTGGGATGTTAGATTGCCTTTTGCTTCGTACTGCTTTAGTATTTCGTTCTATGAATGCAATATGATAAAGTTGGCATTTAAAGGTGTATTAGTCAGGAGCCCACTTAAGGCCCGCCACTGTTCAAGGGTAAATACGGTTACGCGTGTATACCTGCTTTTTGGAAAGCATGCATGCTGCCATGCTTGCTCTCACACTGCTGCTATGCAAAGTGTAAGTCAGCATCCGCCTCTGAAGTTCAATGGCGGTCATTCTGTGTTGTGCCCACATGGCAAGGGCGCTTTCCCAAGACGAGTTGATCAGGGGAAGGCGGATGAGCTCCTCGCAGGTCTGTCCGACAGTGCAGCGCAGGCGCAGCGCTGACACACAGCCACACAAGCCCACTGGTGAGGGAAACACGCTGATGAGATTAAATCACTGTGAAAATAAAACAGCTCTTACTATGTCACAGGGAAGATTTACTTCACTGGGATTTACCATAACAATTAATGTTATGTTGGACTCCCTTTTTGTGTGTTTGGCGTCAAAACTGGCGCATCTTGATTTTCATGCCAGTGTAAGGTGAGTTTAGCGTTTTTTTGGGGAATATGGTAGATGCGCAACGCGTTTTTATTACATGCCCGGCCGGGTGCACCAGACAGTTTGGTGATAGTAAGTAGACTTAGACCTTAGACCAGTGGTTCTTAACCCGGGTTCGATCGAACCCCAGGGGGTCGGTGAATCGGTCTCAGGGGTTCGACGGAGCCTCTGCAGTGGAGGTTAAGACACACCCGACTTGACATGTCAATTAGTTATGATACGCCCTCTTGGGCATCACTGGCTGCAGATGATCACATGACATTGGTTGTCCAATCAGTGCTGTGGGAAATTTAGTTCGCTCAGTCGTCAAAGTGTGACTGTCGTGATAGTACGTCATGCATGGTTCATTTTATGTACAATTAAAAAAACGTATACTTACGTCTTGAAATTTTATTTTGATTTTTTTCAGTTTTTAATAAATGTTTTTATGTGTTGAATTTATTTTTAATTTTTTTTTCACTAAAGAAGGGTTCGATGAATGTGCGCATGAACTGGTTGGGTTCAGGACCTCTAACAAGGTTAAGAACCACTGCCTTAGACCTTTGACCTTGGGCAACCGAAATGCCGAAATTGCTCCTCAAACAAAAAATATATATTTTGAGACTTGTAACCCAGTCGCAAGAAAAACAGTTGATGCCGTATTTTCTTTGGTGACATGGCTTGACTCCTACTTGTAACTGGCTTCAAGTCAACCCTTACATCATTCAGAAGCTCCAAATTGGCATTGATCAATAGATAATGTAGCTCAATTAGTTTGTGGAATTTCAAAAATGGTTACACAAGCAGAGAAGTTCTCCCGGAGACTTCTCATTTTGCTTGGCAATAGTTGTCTGTCGGTGTTTTACCAGAATTCCTGGGGATGGTGAATATGTTTGAGCTGTGCCGAACTCTGAAAGGTGAAGGTAGCGGCAAGTCTGCAGTTGCCTTCACCATGTAGACCATATCGCCGACCTGGAGAAACACATGCACTTGTTGTTAATACATTTGCCTGTCTTGCCTGCCACCCGGAAATCCATTTTGAGCAGAGCAGATTTCATGAATAAAATAATGTCCCATATCATTTTTCTCAAGAGTCGATACACTCTCTGAGGAATATATTGTTTTGTTCAAATAAAAGTCCTGCTTGGGCATGACCTTAACTGTCATGATCCTGTTCTTGTGTTTCTCCAGCAGGTGGCAGTGGACAAGAGATCATGTCTCTTGTCGGATTATTGACCTTGCTGCTGCTCTTTCGAGTGTTGTTTTCTAGACCTCTCGATCTCTCCGCAGTCGTTTTTGCGCTCGAGCCTCTCGCTTTTTTAAGTATTTATGTTTTTTGTCTCTGACCTTGCTCATGTTTTTGTGAAATTGGACATTTGTCATTTCGTTAATATCTAAGAGTTTCTTTTTCCTTGCCTTTGGAAGCGCTTCCTCTTCGTTTTCCTGGTTCTTTTGACCAGCGATTTCTGTTCACACTTTATCGGTACGTTTTTATGTTAAAGAAATACTTTTGTATGGACTTTCGTTTGAGGGATCCGATCGTCATTCACTTCGTTCCCGAACTGTGTCGTTAACAGCTCTCTCATCCTTTGAAATTATAATACCTTGGTTAGTTACTCTTTCTATAGCATCTCATGTGAGGATATCAAATTTCCTGCTGCTGTATCAAAAGTATACTGCTGTCGACCCCCATAGAACTTCCTTTTTTAGGACACTCCACAGGTTGTCAATACGGTTGAGGTCAGGGGAAAATAGTGTCCACCACATGACAATTTATCCCGTTATACCCGTTGCAGCTCATGCTAGTGTGACTGTGCAGTGTGGGATGGGACATTGTGTTTCATGAGTACAATTGTATCACAGAAGGCAAGGTTCTTTTTGGGAAAGTTGCATATTTTGCCCTCGTTCAATACCAGACCTCTTGGATCACATGAGATCAAGGAGTTTCGGTTTAGACAAACAATATACAAATGCAACGCTGACCTGGGGACATATGAGTAACACAGCACAATACTTGGCTCCTGGACAGAAGGGAAGGAATTGGAGGTTGAGTATGTCGCACTGGCCGGGCTTCAGACTAACACTGCTCACTGTGCTGATGAACTCGCCGCCATCACCGTCTGCAAAAGACACACAAACATGCAACACATTTAAGGACTCACTCGTATTTGTGCGCTTCTTTGTTGTATGTGACAGCAAACTACGATCTAAGTCCTTTCCTGCCATCGCCTCGTGACAGCTCCTGTCGGAAGTCTTCTTTTCATTCCTGGAAAAAAAAGTCAAATGGAAGTGGGTTTCACTCAAAGAGAAGACAAAAAACACATCATGCATATGTTCAGATAACATCAGAATGAAGATTTTTTAAAGGTACAATGCCATTCTACACTTTGGCAGTACAAGCACATTAATAAACATGCTGTACTAATGCATTGTGTGGGTGCACATAAGATAAGATAAGATAAGATAAGATAAGATAAGATAAGATAAGATAAGATAAGATAAGATAAGATAAGATAAGATAAGATAAGATAAGATAAGATAAGATAAGATAAGATAAGATAAGATAAGATAAGAAAGTCAAAATAACAAAAATAACACAACACAACACATAGGACACAAGACAGTCGTGCAATCTTCACCACTTTTCTGCATACACTTTGTTGTCTGAAGCAGTTATAGATGAAAGAGGAGAGGATCAAAGTGTCCATAGTCTTTGAAACCAGTGAGTGTTTCTCTTGAGTCTCCCAGAGGCTAATGAGATTGGTTGACGTCAAAACGTCAGAAACACAGAATTTGTCCCTAAATCGGAACATTATGTCATTCTGTTCAATTTTAGTCTACGTTCACACTGCAGCTCCATTCCATTTTATGTATTTATTTGTTTTTGCCAATATGAGATGAGAAAATGAGGCTCTACACCACCGACTTCTTTCTGTCTGAACTATCATCGCGGTTGTAGCCAGAGGGCAGCCATCTTGCGTTGCCACTGTGACTGACAACTTTTATTATTTCCTCGCTGAAAACACTGTGATGTCTTTTTGGCAAGGATCCCGTATGGAGTCATGAACGCCTCTCGAAAACCCAACTTCACTGTCTGCATCAGCCGTTCTTAGTACATTACCTCAACACTGTGACCCCCAGAGGTTATTACCGTATTTAAAATTGGATTTAACAAATAAATAAATAAATAAATCAATAATGGAATTGGGCATTATGCCCTGCACTGCGAACGTAGCCGAAGAATGTGCATTAATATTGTGCTGGTTTTACTTGATCTTGAAGGATGCCTGCTGAATGAGGCTGTCGGTTTCCTTTTCTGATTCCAACGGGTTGACTGTCGACTCAACCAGAATCACCCTGAATCGGCAGACATTGTCACTTGGGTCAACAATCAGCAGGAATTCGTCTGGGTGACAAATTTATTCAGATTCCTGAAGCCCTATCACGTACCTGAAGTTAGCTTCCACGTTGAACGTGTTTGTTACTGGAAGTTTAATCACTTTTAGCACATAGCATGGAGTCTTGCACTTGACACTTTTCTGAGAAGAGAGGTGGATACGCGAGTAAGGCACAGCGGTCTCTGCGTTGCGTGACTGAGTCATGTGTGAAATATTTGATAAGCGTCATGAAAGACATGATATGACTTCATTATTATTATTATTATTATTATTAAAGAGCCTGTAAAGTGAATTCCAAAGACATTATTGTCATGTTCTGTTCTTTTTTTGTGTCTCAGTCCCAGCTGGACTGGAGGGCAGTCCCTCCAGCGGCGCACCTGTCTCACATCACAAACATCAGACTTTTTAAGGACTTCCAAGCCGACAACCCAATGTCGGATTATTTGCCTTGCTCGTGACTCTGTCTCCAAGTGTTTGAATTTTCTAGACGTCCCTTGTTCTTGCCACGTATTTGTCTCGTCACGTTTTTTTGCATTACCTGAGTTGTCACAGCAATTGTGAGTTGATTTATGTTGGTCTCATTTTATATATCACAAAAACTTGCCAATTGAATCGGGGTGTGTACCCCTGAGATACTGGACCCCAGTTTGAGAAACACTGATTTTCGAGCATCTGAACTAAAACCAGACGGCCGGATAGAGCCAGTATAGTTTCGCGAACAGAGATGGTCGACTCACTGTGGGTGTGATCTGACTAACACAGGTGTCGACTTTGAAAGTCAAAGTGGTGCCATGCAGGCCAGAAGCTGAAGTAGAGATGAGCAGGAGGATAGCTTCCTTCGGCTGCAGGAATGAGCAGCAATACTGCACCGTCAGATCAGTGCTTGCTCTGTGAAGACAACAAAAGCGCTCGGATAACACGCCCTGTGATTTAAAGGATTCACAACACGATACTGTATGTCAGACAATTTGTAATACAGTGTTATTATGATATCGCTGAGCATTCACACACAATTTGAATGGCACGTTCTAGTTGTTAAGATGAGGTTTACAATGTAAAATTAGACACAGGAAAAGACATCAGATCAATATTGTTTCGCGCTACGACCACCGATTCTTTTGGATTCGTATTTACGTTGGATGAATGGTAACAGCAGAGCCATCAGGCAGGGAGAACAGAGTGGCATCCCGTCCGAGAAGGACGGTCCGGTATTTGACGAGGCAAGTGGATGGGTTTTTCAAATGCACCTGAAATACACAAACAAGACACACACAAAAATGCTGGCCATGCTTTATAGTCAGTATGGAGTCTTTATTTCCCTCCTAAGCAATTAAATCAGTTTCTTTCCTTGACATTTTTTCTCCACTTTTGTACCCTCTACTAACTAGTGTCTAGTGCATTACTACGCAGTACTAGAATTTAACGAGCGGCTACTGTATCATGTTATTGTGCGTTACCTGCTTGCTCAAAGTTCTGTGCAGGCTTCCAGAGAGAGTGATGGTGTTTATGGGCTGGTACTGAGGAAGTCTCTCGTATAAATGAACACACAGCATCAACATTTGCACCGGGTTGGGATCTGACAAGTCTGTGGGCTGCATACACAAACTCATAACATAAAATCGGATCTTACATGTTGGGCTATGCACACCCGTTTTTGTGATTAAAAAAAAAAATTTAAAAAAAGAGAGACATAGATAAACCACTTTAAAACCAGTGATGTAACCCACAACGGGTAGAACTCATTAAAAAAAATAGTGCTGTCAGTTTAACGGGTTATTATCGGCATTAATTTAAATCAATTTTAACGGGATTAATTTTTTTTTTATTGAGAGATTAATGTATTAATTTAGAATAGATAAAAATGTGTGATTAATTGCAATTAATTGTGAGTTAACTATGACATTTATACAGTTAAGTTATTTTAATCGTTTGACAGCACTAAAAATAAACCAAACAAGTTTTTAAAGAGTGGAAGTAAAAATAAAACTGAAGTGTGCGCACACCATCTGACTGGGGATGTGGCTTAACCAATCAAATTCTAACTCATGTGAATCGGCCGCCAGTACATGCCTGGCACCATTTAAAGTACCCTGATTAACCCCAAGTAAAAGTTCAGACGTTCTCTTCTTTACTTTTCCTGACAATTTTGTTCGCACACCCACCAGCACCAGCCACGGTCAGCGGAGAGCTTTCACGGCATTCGAGGAATCTCATTGTTCAAAGCTATGTGGACAGGTAACAGTGAAGACAGTCATCATTCGGTGAAGAAAATGTGGCACAGCAGTGACATTACCGTTGATGAAAAGATGAGGGGAAAACAAGTCTGCAGGGGTTTTGAAGGGACAGCAATCTCCCGCATTTTTCATGTGTCTGCACAACGGGGTAGAATGTCTAAATTGTTTTACGATGCAAGGAAACCAAGAAAACTCTTTTGGGCCATAATTACAAAAGATATGTTTGGGGCTAACTAAACACTGTTCCTCACAAAAAGAACACCATAATCTCCCGTACAGCTTTTCTTCAGCTAGAACTGGGCCCTTAGTCAAGGTAAAAGGAAATTTTGTTCCAAATACAAGTCAGCACCAAAACTAGACATCTGCCCGGAAGATCTCGCAAAAAGCCTACTAGAACATCTAAACTTTGCTTGGGGTTAATCAGAGGCACTTTCAGTGGTGGTGGGTAGAAGCTGAGTCCCATTTGCAAGGAGTCATATCTCCAAGAGCATGTGCACATTTATGCAAGCACAACATCTCATTTTGTTTATTGTTGCTTCCCTCTTTTTTTTATAATATATCACAAGAACTTGCCATTTGAACAGGGGTGTGTATACTTTTTATATTCACAGCATGTGAAATGCAGAATAAATTAATCACTTGTAATGTACAGTATGAATCAATTATTGAGATTGGATATTACAGCAAAGAGGAAGAGCCATAGTTCGGCAATTGTACCTGGAGGTCCATGTTGAGAGAAAGTATGGTTAAAGCCTGGACAATAATGATGTTGTTGTGCAGAATCTGCTCCAGGCTGGGAGTTGTGGTGTACATCCTCTGAAAATGGCTGGAGACCTAAATGCATTATAAGTAATAACACAAAAAGAATATTTTAGAAATTTCAAATGCTTTTACTTTAGGGCAGCTGTGACATAAACCTTCAATAATTTCGCTCAATATGGCATTCCTGCCTTTAAAAAAAAAAAAAGAAAATTACACCAACACACACACTGACCAGGTATGGGCAATAGGTAGCGAGCAATGCAGCCAGCACCAGTCCGTCAATCAAGTCCAGATCAAAATTGACAATCCAGCGGACCGGCGGGACAGTGCCTGACATCAGAAGAAACTCAAAGATCAATAAAAACATATCCAGGCAAAAGATGCGATCAATCCGTGAGGACAGTGAATACCCGAAGCCCACACTGTTTCCCTCATGTGATGATAATGTGAATTAAGCCAGGAGAGAAGCTGGAGCTCATGGCGAGAGTAGAGGTTACTGGGCAGTGAATGAATGTTGAGGATTCCATCTTCATCTTCCTGACATCTGTCACGAGTTAGGTTGGGACTGTACTCCGACACGCGAGACAACACCAAGACCTGGGTGAAGAAGTGGAAAACAAAACTGTGGTTATGCTTAAAAAGAAGAATCCCGGTGGTTATGGGAAATGCAAAAATGAAAAAAATAAGACAAAGAAATCAGTCAGTCAGTACTTTTGAGACACGAACTGCTTTCTGTCACGTTCAATGAGACTTGCCTTCGACGAGGTCTCCAATTTATTCTTAGCTTTGTGAATGCTTGATGTTCACCCACATAGAACTCCCTGGTTTACAGGTTGGCTACAGCACCAGCTGTCCAGATGTTCAAACATGTTACAATACCTCTGCTCATGTGAAAAAAAGCTGGATTCAAACCAAATGTGGAGTTTTTTTTTTTTTTTTTACTGATCTTATTGTGTCATTTCTTTGGATCAAACCAACGAGTTTGGTCCACGAAAATACTGTAAAGGGATCGGCCCAATTGTAATAAGGAGGGGACACGCTTTATTCATGATGCACGTGCTATTTTTGTTAATTTTCCTCAATAGTCCATGTGACTTACGGTCTTGAGCCTGACCAATGGATATCTATCAATACGAAACCGATGTATGACCTTTTTTTGTCCTTGCCAAAGTGCCTGGCTCCCTCTCCTCACACACAAACACACAACCTGGCAAGGTGCAGCACACTTCTCCCCCGCTCACACTCACTCGGCTGCAGCAGGGGATGAAGATAAGAGAAATGGTGACTGTTTTTTTTTGTTATTTTTTACTCACTTGTGCCCCATAAAAGTAACTACCTTGTGAAAGCATACTTTAAGGGCACATGAAGGACAGCATTTTATTTTTGTCTTCACACAAGTTTTGGAGAACATTTGATTGCATTTTAACATTGTGTAATTTGCATCTTTAGGAAATAAAGATGTGTGACAGTATTATGTCCCATATCCACCATCACCTAATATACAGTCATCATAAAGAGCCTTCGTTTTCACCAATATGCATAAAAAAAGTATCTTAATGTGGTGAAATAAACTGCTAAATGACTTTCCCCTTAAACTAATGATAAAAAAAGTCTGAGATGTACGGGAAATGATTTAATCAGACGGAAGAAGCACCATAAGGTAAATGTTCTACGGAAAAACGTTTGTTATGTTATGTGTTGTGTTTATCTTTTCACAACAGCTGCAGCTGTTGTGAAAGCGCTATATAAATCAGGATGAATTGTATCGTATTGTAAATGTTTATTTTATTAAAATTCATCATACAGAATAATTTGGAACATAGTGTGTATTCCTAAAAAAATCTTACAATTATAAATATTTGACAAGTCAACAAAATGGAAAGCATATGAAAAACATTTCAACCTTATATATTTGCAGGAGAAAATCAGTCCAGCATCGTTTGCTCAGGGACTCATAGTCGACATTATTGTAGTCCACTTCTGGATCGATCTCATCAGACTGAAAAACAAACAAACACACACGCACGCACGCACGCACGCACGCACACACACACACACACACACACACAAGCAAAATGTATTTATCCATCCATCCACGCATCCATTATCTGAACCGCTTCTCCTCACGAGGGTCGCGGGCATGTTGGAGCCTATCCCAGCTGTCTTCGGGCAGTAGGCGGGGGACACCCTCAACTGGTTGCCAGCCAATCGCAGGGCACACAGAGACAAACAACCAATCGCGCTCACAATCATACCCACGGACAATTTGGAGTGATCTACCATGCATGTTTTTGGAATGTGGGAGGAAACAGGAGTACCCGGAGAAAACCCGGAGGCATGGGGACAACATGCAGACTCCACACAGGAAGGCCGGAGCCAGAATTGAACCCCAGACCACCTCTGCACTGAGACGGACGTGCTAACCAGTCCCTCACCATGCCACCCGTGATTAATAACTTTTAATTTCAATGTTTTTTGAAGTAATCCAAGGAGTTTATTTTCAGTGACACAGTGCAAGCAAATTGTTGGGTGAGGGTGTTTATAGTATACCTGCAGGGTGCACCAGTGGTTGAACTCCAGCACATCTAGGAGGTACTCAGCTCGGATGTGACTCAAACAAGCTCCCTGTACTCTGAGCACAGAATTAAAAATGAAGGCCCAAAAGATTCCCAAACAAAACTTGGTGCATTCAATTGCGAGCCATCTTTCGGGTTTACCCAAATGCCGTAAATCCTTCATCAACTGCCATAAGTCTTTTCATAATAATATTAAATAAAGTCACAGTTGTGTTTGAAGTGCTGTTTCTGACCTTTGATACCAGCTAAGGCTCCTGCTTGGCCAGAGACCCAAGAATCCCTCAAGACAAGAAAGCAATGCCTTTTACCAAAGTAATTTATTTTCTTTGAACTGAATCATGAACGTTTTCCCACTTTAAAGTTGTACGGCTAGCATGTCTGAAGATACAATGTAGAGAACGTGGTACAGGGATGTGAGCAGAACTAGTGTTGTGACACGAGCTTACCTGAGAAAAGCAAAAATGGCCTCATGCTGTTGGAGCAACTGCAGCGTCCGCTGGTGTACGTCTGTGGAAAAGGTCTGACAGTGAGAAATGTTGGGAATCCGTCTGCCCGCCAGATGATGAATCATCTCCACTGCAGATCTGGACAATAAAATAACAATAAAGAGGGAAGGGAAATAAAACCATACAAGTTTGAAATCCGCAACCAGGCAAAGCATTCTACAGCCTGATTCAGTTGCATCAATGTACCATGGTTGCACACCTGGCGTCTTTTTTTTGGCTGACTCCCTGTGCCTGTCCCTTGGGATTGTTTACTGCATCTTCAGAAATAATCCTAAAGGAGGAAACAAGGTATTTAATTGACCAACAGTTCGAAGAAAATAAGCGCGTGTAACCGGATCAAACGTACCTTCTGAGTGTGTGTGGTATCGTGATGGGGTGTGGCCCAGTCAGCCATCCAAAGAAGCTGAACCACCTCTCCAACGCTAATAAAACACTCTGGTAATATTGGCCCTCCACTGACGTTGCAGTGGGGAATAGCGGCACGCCGATATCAGTCTGTGGGGTGTCTATGGTTCGAAAACTTTGGCTGCTGGTTTGACTCCCGCTCTCACTTTGCGCAAAGGAGTCTGAACACGAATATTCTTGCCGAGTTAGGACAATCAACAACAACACTTACAACATGTTAACCGGGGTTTTCCCTGACCTGATGATGAGTTCTTGGGTGTCGAGCTGATGGGTTCAAACAAGGAGGGGGAGGACGTTTGGTCAGATGCAAGACTTGGTGTGTGATATGTGATGGTTTCAATAACTGTGGCCCCTAAATACAAAAAAGAAAAAAGGGAATAGCGTTAGTTCGGGTGAGTCGACGCATGGCGCACCCACTCACAAATTTCAACGTGTGATTTCTGTTATACAGTACCAGCCCTGAGAACTATTTGCTGCTTGGAGCGTTCAAGAGCCATTTGGGGCCACACCGTCAACAAACAGTTGTCACTTGTGGCACACAACCTGACCTTAAATCTGCAACAGCCCCAAATAAATATGTTGTAAATTGAGCACAAAATAACAGGTCCAAAATGATTTTTTGCTGCTACTTGGGTTGGATTAAACAAAATATCATTTCTGTTGTTGCTATGGCAACAAGGCATCTCATCCTTTCGCGGAACCTTTTTGATCGCGAACAAATACATGTTTTTTTTTTTTTTTGTGTGTTTCTTTGAATTTACCAAATTGTCTCCAAACCACCTAAGTAGACAGTCATCCCAAATCACAATGACCTTGCATTGGCAGTTAAGAGGATCTCACAAGTTAGTACATCCTTCATTTTTGGAAATATATTCTCATATCTTCATGGGACAACACAGAAGAAATGCCACTTTGCTACAAGGGCCTAAAGCAGCCGTAGAAAACAATGGTGGCCACACAAAATATTGACACCCTGTGCCCAATTTGGACATTTTCACTTCGGAGTATCTTCATTTTCGCTTCAAGGAGTTTAAACATAATGGCAATGTGTTGAGATATATTGATGAGAGAGTTTGCACTGTTTAACAAGCTGTACACTGACTTATGTAACATTGTAACAGAGGTGGTTTTTTTTTCCAGTGTTGTCCCATGAAAGATGTGATATTCACAAAAACGTGAAGGGTATGCTCACTTTGGTGTTACCTGTTATTTAGGTGGTCAGTGAAAGTGATGCTTGTGCGAATGGACAGAGTCACCATGGAGAAAAACGACACTCGGCAGATCAGTGAGTTCACGCCGGCCGCCTGGTTTGGATGAATAACAAGATGATTATTTCAAGTGTGACAGACTGGAGTGAAGGGAGAGTGTGTAAAATGTCCTTCGTGATCAGTCGAAACCTTACCTGATTTTGGGCGGGAATGGTGTTCCCCTCGGGGAAGGTGACACAGATTGGCTGCACTGTGGTTCCATCGTCCAAATCTACCTCATCTACCTCAGCTGTTAAACTGGTTCCTCTGCGAAGAAAATAAAATGTCAGCACAGCATGGATGAAGTCGGCATGAGCGGAAATTGACATTGTACTTCACATGTTGTGTCAAAGAAATGCTTTTAAAACAATGTTAATTTTCCGTCCATTATAGTGCTTATCCTCATTAGGTTCACAGATAAGCTAGAGCCTATCCGAGCTCACTTTGAGGCGCAAGGTGGGGTGCATCCGGAACTGGCCAGTTCTTGCCACTTTACATTGTTGTGCAAATTGCTTTGGAATTATTTGCCTGACTTTTAATTTTGCCTCAGTAGCAGGAATGGTTCATGCTTTGAATGTATGAGTAAGTCTATGACAAATAAAAATAGGACTAACTGTGTGTGTGTGTGTTCATCTTCTCTGTGTTTCTGAAATTCAAATAACTCCGTACATCTGGTAAATTACCATAACCATAAAAACATAACAACCAATTAACACTATTGTAATGGTAGTTTATAAAGCATCCAAATGGGTAGTGACAAATTTATGCAAAGACGCTGTGCACGAGTCCTCATCATGATCCCAATAATCATGAAGAGAAGTGGGCAGTTCGTCAATGCACTGACACAATATAAACAGCGGATATAAAAAGTATACACACCACTGTTCAAATGGCAGTTTTTTTGTGATGTAAATAAATAAATAAATAAATAAGACCAAGTCAAATGAATTAAAAGCTTTTTCCACCAGGAATGAGACCTATAACCTGTACACGCCTCAATCGATTCGTTTTTTTTTTTTCTTTTCAAGAGGGTAAGCAAAGAATACACCGAAATAATGTGGTAGGTATGCACAATCGGGATGCGGCTGTGTTCAGAATTTTTTCATGGACCATACCAAACATATATGGGGAAAATGTGTTAACAGTCTGAAGAAACCAAGGTTGACGTTTTTTGCCCTATTGCCAGAAAGTATGTTTGGTGCCAACGCAACACTGTTCATGACCAGAAGATCGCCAGACCCTACAGTGAAGCATGACGGTGGCAACAGGACTTTTCAAGGCTGTTTTTCTTCAGCTGGAACTTGGGCCTTACAAAAAGTGAAAGGTATTACGAACAATTCCAAGTAGCCGTCATTGTTAGCACAAAACCATTCAGGCTGCTATAAACGGCGGCAGGTGTGTGCTGTCTTCCCTTTACTGTCAATTTGAATGAGATTAGTTGATTTCTTACTAGACACAACCCAGTTATAAGAGGATGTGAACACTTGTGCAACCACATTATTTCAGTGGTTTATCTTTGGTTAAGATGTTTTTGAAATGGTTTTGCTCGATATCATTTTTTGATATCACAAAAACCTGGCATTTGAACACGGCTGTGTAGACTTATATATCCACCGTAGCGGCTTGTAACAATATATAAAGTATCCACCTATCTCTATCACTAACTGCTTGTGAGCCAACCTGGCGTATCCTGAAGCCCGCAGAGTAAGTTTGGCTGTTATGCTGCTTTCCAAGGGAACTGGCGTCAGGAGCAAATGAGGCGGGCTGATGCTTATACCGGGCACTTGGTGGATAACAGTGATGGGCAGCTTTTTGTACGGCTGCCCCCCCATCTTGCCCCCTTCTTTGTCGCCCAGGTAAAGTGAGAGGGAAAGTCTGGTCACCGTGTCTACTGGGAAGAAAAATGAATAGGGGGAAAATAAATAAATAAAAATCGAGAACAGGTTGCCTGTTAGAGATGAATGTGTGTTTCCTGTCATTTCTCACAAGTTGCAAATGCCTCTGGCATGATGCTGATTGCCAAGCAGATGGACTGACCGGGCCCCAGACAACCGGAGGATGGAGACACAGACAAATGTAGCTCGCCCTCTCCTCTACCCTCTGGCGCTGTCGTGTCGTTGCGCTTGAACCGCCAGCGCACGCTCTTCCCTCGGATGCCGTGCCAGCAGACGCTCTGCTCGCATGCTGCTTTGAGCTCCAGTGTCTGATGTAAATAAGGAAACATTTAAAAAGACATCACGATGAACCGCCGTAAACATTTATAGACGTAAGAGAGAGCACGTAAAAAGTATATATTTACAACATCATTCAAAATCAATGAGCAGAATAAGCAGCTCATTGAGCAAGGGGGGAAGATGCTTGTTAAATTAAATAATTAAATACAATGAATGCCCCGTGCCCGTTTAGGAATGAAAATGTTACCTTCTCGAAGGCAATGAAAATAGCTGGGAAATAAATTACCTTTGTGTAGGACTGAGAAGGTTGTGCAAAAGCTTCTACATGGAACTGTAGGCTTGGTGGGGACATTTCCAGTGGGGGACACAGCACTGTTTCAGCAAAGGCACTTGATTAGGTGTGTGCGAAGGCATCATCATCATCTTCATCATCGCCGCATGAGGGAGCCCACCTGTGGCTTGTATGTGCGGTTGTTGCATTGCCATGTTGATAGACCAGGGAATCACTTTGATAACACACTTGCTGTCAGATGAAAAGAAGGGCGAGCTAGATGAGCGGGAGGGCGGTGGAGAAGCAACGGGCCATCTCATTCCATTAACCATCAACGGCAGGTCAAAGACGTAGTCGGCTGACTGCAGAGAGACATTTTCTTCCGCTGGTTAATTACAAGTCTTCCTGTCTTCATGTAGCATATAGCATGAAGTGGTGCCTTGAGATGCCAAGTTGAATTTGTTGCATGATCAAAGCACATGACTCAAAATATCCTTGTGCCAAATTATCCTTCCTCATGGAAATGAATGAAAATGCCATTAATCTGGTCCAGTCTGCCCCCGAAAAAACACAAAAATGTAATGTGTATTCTAATGAGTAAAAATAACACTTCATATTATTGTGCTTTAAAAAAACATACAGTAATTCCATAATTGAATAGAAAGAATAAAATCATTTTTACCACACTTTTTGCTTCTATTCAACAGCCATTGTGTTATAACTTTTGGTGTGCTTGCCTTGGCCGCTGGGTGGCACCTTAATCCATAAACTTCAACTGTGAGTGGAAATAAACAGTTTGAAGCCTATTTTTTGAAGAATTGCTCACTAATTCTTTCTGCCAAACCTCTGCTTGTTGTCATGTGATTTGAGTTCACTGCCAGCTTACAGCCATCATATCTTAAAGTTTACATTTGCAACTCGAAGTAAAATAAAGACATAAATAATCAGCCGTATGATGTATCACTCGTATCTCAAGGCACCACTGTGCCGGTCATTTTTCACTCGTATCTCCATGCACCACTGTGGTGTCCATTTTCTGAGCTTATTACCTCGGTTGGGGAGAAGACAAGAGAGCAGTTGACTGTCTGGTGTCCCTGCACCTCCAGTACCCTCACAACTGGATGATTCTCTTCTTATAAAAAAATAAAAGACTGCTAAATACATTGAGAAAAAAAATGTATATAATGACCCAGTATCTAATCATGTGGATGCTAGCATACTTGCAGCAGGCTGAGGAAGCTGCAGAGAGAAGTTTGGATATTGTGACAGGTTGAAGGTGAGACGAGCTGCAGCTGGTGAGCGGTTGATCACTGCAAAGGGTACCAGTCTCTCAGAACCAATATGGACGCCGCAGAAATGGAAGTGGGACTGAGTAGAGGGTAGTGAGTCAACCAAGGTACACACTATTCAAGCCACACAATACAGTACCATACCATGCAAAAGTGATTGGAACAATTACATTTGTTATTTTAACAGGGCTACAATATCCATGTACGTCAAAATATGGCCCAGGGTCACCTTCTGCCGCCCTACAGTCTCTCTAACAAAAAAAAATAACTTTGCGTTGCCTCGCAAAGCTTTGCATTCCCTTTCAAAGATTGCGAGATTTGAAAATTGTCCTTTTAGTTTATGTGCAAGCAACGTAGCAAGCAGGAGCTACGACTTCCATCTGCAGTCTTTCCAATTTGGCGAAGTTTTGCCGAAGTTTTGTGAATTTTCCGAGCAACTGTTGAACTTTTTTTCCAGAAATTACAAACACACTAATGCATAGAGTGAATTTTCTTCAACTCATCCCTACACTCACCACACTGATATCAATGTTAGGAGGCTCCACAGATCCACCGACTCGAACCTCGATGGGCTTCATGTTCTTCACAGCTATCTGTAATAAACACTTATTTATTCATTCATTCATTTTCCGAACCGCTTTATCCCAGGTGTCTTCGGGCAGTAGGCGGAGGACACCCTGAATCGGTTGTCAGCCAATCGCAGAGACGAACAACCATCCACGCCCACACCCACACCCACCTAGGGACAATTTAGAGTGTTCAATCAGCCTGCCATGCATGTTTTTGGAATGTGGGAGGAAACCGGAGTACCCGGAGAAAACTCAGTCAGGCCCAGGGAGAACATGCACACTCCACACAGAGAGGCCGGAGCTGGAATTGAACCCAGTACCTCTGCACTGTGAAGTCAACGTGATAACCACTGGACGACTGGGCCGCTAAACACTTATTTACTTCGACCAAATCATCAGTTTTGTCCTGCTTACCACTCGGATTTCATCTTACCGCAACTCTGGTGTCAAACTTCATGACAGAGTCAGGGTTGAAGTGGATCTTTAGGACAGACTTTCCTCGGCTGGGCACCACTCCCTCGCACGGGATGACCACCATGCATGGCAGAGGGCATACATCAAGCACCTGTAGGAGACAAATCATTTACTTCTCTCAATGTGTGATCGGTAACCTACGTCAAAACCTATGACGGTGGGTTTACTCGATAGTAGGCGTGGTTCTGGCCATTATTGTGTAAGATTATAGTTCTGACAGAGGGCATGTTGAGAGGCACAGACTCAAACATCAGCCGGTTCTCTGCTAGTCGGATGCAAGTGGAGCCAACCTGAGGGGACATAAACAATGAAGGTCAATTTGGCAGCATTCCAACCGGGATGATGTCACATGTTGAGGTTGTTTATCGATTATAGTACCGTAATTTAATTGAGTGCAAAATATACACTTTGTTCATCATGATGAATTGATTGCAGCTGTTTCTGGAGTGCACCGCATAGTCATTGGATGATGCAGTCATGAAGACAATCGGAGAAGATTTTCACAACTACTTGAAGTGACTCAGTAAGCTGCTGTAATAGTTCCTCACAGAGCATTAAGAATATGCCTTTGAGTTTGATAATGTCTGACCACATGTGCACAGTCGTGTTCAATTACCCATCGGTCACATTTTGATAAAACTGCAACACAGGTGAAAAACATTCAGCCATCTATGGCATTCCTCATGTGTTCGCATTCAGCCAGCAGACTTTAAGCCAAAGTTATGTGCTTGTTTTAAATGCACAACTTATAGTTCTCTCAGTTTTATGTTTAGTTCAACAGTAAACTTCACCTGGGATTGCTTGTACTGCACTTAAATTCCTATCACTAGGGCTATTTTTCAAATGACATTCAGAACTTAAAATTGTAGTCATGAGACACCTTAGCAATGCAATGTAGGCGTTGTATGTTGCCATCAAAGCAATAGAGGTCAAAGTCTCCTTCTTGAGGGGATGAGAAAGACGCATGCCACACCACTTCACAATCCAGTTCGCTGTATGGCTCCACTGTGCCTGAGGGAGAGGAACACATTGGACCCAGTCCACTTAAAACAACATAATATAATCCCCAAAACATTTGCATGAAGCCAATATGACAGTGCTGCACGGTCAGGGCCAGCAAGGGCTTTTCTGATGGCTTTAACACGATCAGAAGCAATGACCTACAACTGTATTCTAAATTCTGATGTTTTCCATGAAATTGTATTCCCAAGTCTTCTTTAGTCACTTCATAATGTGTCATTAACACTGCTGAGCCCAGAAGAGAGACTTGATTACAGCACACTGCGCACATTTATTTGATAAATATGCATTCTTAACCTCTCCAAATGATGTGTGTGGCACAGCTGCAGTTGGTTACATTTTTGTATTGGTTTCTATACGTGCGACATGATACTTGTGGCATGAAAAAGAAAAAAAAAAAAAAGCAGAAACAAGGTGAATCAAGTCAGAGATGACGCCACTAAAGGCCTTAGGACCAAAAATACAGACAACCACTGCTATATGGACACTTTCAGAACCTGTAGCTGGTCGAATTGAGAAGAGGATGCCACTCTCTGGAACAATAGGCCGCCATGTGAATTCTGCTGGCTGATTACGCGGGTTGCGAAGAGTAACTGAGTTTCGGTAGCCTGATGCGGCAAGCAGGTTTGCATTGGGACCAAGAATCAACAGGTGGGTGGACAATTCCAGGTAATTTCGGACAACTTGAGCCTTGACCAGAATCTGTCCGGGATGCTGCTGATTCACTGTGTAAGACACAGGTCTGGGGATCAAAAAATAGATTTAAACCAGACCGTTGTGGCTCAAAGTAAAGTAGATACAACATGTAGAATTGAACCAACCTGTAGAATTGACCCAGCTTGTTGCTTTGAAACGTCAGGTTTACCGAATTGTGGGAAACTGGTGGCAGCACGTGAGACAGGGGAGATGAACCCTGCAGCTCAAAGCAGTCCACCTCAAACTGCACCCGCACAAACGTTGGCAGGGGATTGATTAGATCCACCTTCTGCTCACACACCGAGTGGAAACACACCTCACCAAAATCCACGAATGATGGGCCTTTTGGGGAAAGCATCAGATGTTCTGCATTTGCTCTAAATATTGAAATACAGATGGACAACCAGTATACAGGTATTGAAAAACTGACCTATGATAACCTGATAAAGCTCCTTAGGTGTCAAAGTCTTGTCACAGTCTGTCATCTCCTGGCGAGTAGTTGGAACTGCATGCGACTCCACTGAGCCCTAGCGTAAAAATACAAAGCGAATTCCAATGAATTTGGAACACCGTGTGAAACATAAATAACAACAGAATACGACAACTGCAAATCATATTCTAACCATATTTAATTGAATACACTACAAAGGCTAGATATTAAATCTTCAAATTGATACTTCATTGTTTGTAGCAAATAATCATGAAGTTTGTGACTGCAACATTGTCCAGAAAAGAAATGTGCGAGAGGGTCATGTTGAGCACTGCGTTACATCACCTCTTCTTTGAACAACATTCAATAAATGTAAATGGGAAATGAGGAGACGAATTATTGAAGCTTTGTAGGTAGAATTCTTTCCCATCCTTGCTTGATGTAACAGCTTCTTTGTTGTATTTTATGCTTTAAAATGCGCCACGCATTTTCAGTAGGAGACAGGTCTGGACTGCAGTCAGGCAGAATGTGGTTTGGCATTGACTTGCTGAAATAAGCAAGGGGCGTACATGAAAAACACGTTGCTTGGATGGCAGCATATGTTTCTCCCAAACCTGTTTGTACCTTTCAGCATTAATGGTGCCTTTACAGATGTGGAAGTTACCCATCCCGTTGGCACTAACGCAGCCCCATACCATCACAGATGCTGGATTTTGAACTTTGCGTCAATAACATTCAGGAAGGCTCTTCTCCTCTTTGGCCCAGAGGACATGACGTCCACAATTTCCAAAATCTATTTGAAATGTGGACTCGTCAGACCACAAAACAGTTTTCCGTTTTGCATCAGTGCATCTTTGATGAGCTTGGCGCATTGTTGATGGCTTTTGCTTTGCATCGGAGAGTTTTACTTTGCGCTTAGGATATAGCGCCGATCTGTATTTACCGGTACTGACATTGTTTTTCTGAAGTATGCCCTGCGACTGACTGGCAACCAGTTCAGGGTGTAGTCCGCCTTCTACCTGAAGTCAGCTGGGATAGGCTCCAGCAACTCCCCGTAACCCTGTTCAGGTTAAGCGGTGTTGAAAATGGGGTGGGTGTTTTTCTGAAGTGTTCCTGAGCCCGTGTGATTTGCATATTCTGCTTTCAAACTCAAAATGAATGATTATTTGCTGAAAGCAATAAAGTTGATCACTTTCAACATTTAAATATCTTGTCTTTGTCGTGGACTCAATTAAACATAAGTTGAGAGTATGGCATTGATTGACTGGTTGGTGGATCACGCTGACCTGCCTGGCACTGGGGGCTTTGCCCTTGGGCGGGTGGGCGCAGGAAGCATAGCACAGCCTTCTGCTTGACTTCTGGTTGGCCTTCGAGTCACGGAGGACAAGCTTAGGCGGCTCGAGGCCTTGAGCGGGTATAATCCCAAAGTTGTCCCCTTGCGCTTCTAGTCTAGGAACCAAAGATTAGAGATTCCTTTTCATCCAATATTTGAATCTTGACCGTTCGGCCAGGAGTAAGGATATTTTTCGATTTTACTTTGTCTTGATTTTCTCCAGCCGTGTTTCTCTGAGCTGCCTGATGAAGTCGGTGTAACTTTGTCTGTGTAGACGTCTGTGCTCCGCCTCCTTCCAGGTGAAGCCATAATCAGGATCCACATAGGTGTATCGCTGTACTCCGGTAAAGATGGTCCTGAGAAAAGTTAACACAGGTCATATTGTCATCTTTTTGGGGGAATGTTTGTTCAATTTCTTTCAAACCTTACCGAAACTGCATGTGTCGTGAGGCCGGTCTGACGCTGGTGGCTCGGTCATTCGGCAAAGCCAGAAATTCCTCACCAGCTAAACTTTGCCCATTCTTCCTGTCATGCATGTGGAAGGTTGTCTTACGAGCGCTGACTACAGCCGCACGCACCATTCCATAGCAGCAGGCCAGCTGGCCGGATGCAACGTGAGGACGTAAGCCCGTCGCATTGCTCACTGTTGGTGTAATACCTAAAAAAAAATATATATATATATAAAAATATGTTTTTTTTTTTGGGGGGGGGGGGCAGGGGAATTTATCAAATGACTGGTAGTCCAAGTGCTTTTATTGACAATTCTGCTGAATATGGTGAAATTTTGAAAACGATCCATAGAATTTAAATTCATTTGGCTTACATGGCTGCGAAGAGAGAAAAGCTGGTTTGCAAAAGTACAGTCAGTGATATCAATTTAACAATTTGCCCGCAATATATAACAACTTTTCCTAGCTCTATTGCAATGATTTTTTTTAAACAGTAAACCGGCTAGTTTAATTCCTTATATGAAACAGACCACACGAGAGGAATCATTGTCACATTGTTTTGTGTATTAAATGCAAAAAAGGAACACCGTAAAAGACCCTCAAGGGGTGAATTGTGGTGAAATTGCAGAAGCAATGATTTATCCTCAGGTTGGAAACTTTCAATCTGAGGTATGTACTTCCAAGCCACAAATATTTTGCTGAGGTGGCTTTGCCTCTCATGTACAACTCTCCAATATATGAATAAATAACAAGAACAACAAATAAAACAATAAATGGTTGCTGTGGCTAGATGGATAATAATTTATTGATGATCTCTCAAGTTGCGGGTCATGGATCCCAGTTTGAAAACCACTATCTTATCACAGCAAATTTCTGGGGTTGACGAAGGACTGCACTGAATGCTTTTGTTTCCTTTTTCAAATTAACTCTTTATCCAAAGCATTTGAGGAGTTGATGATATTTACCAGGATTTAATTTCGGCGAAGGAGGGGTCATCTCAATTTTGCAGATGGCTGAGAGGTGTAGTGAGATGGTGTAAAAGCTGCCGAGCCTTAGTTCAGCGTCATCCTCAGTGGTGTGATTCGACCTCTGGCGAGCAACGTAGCCCAAAACATCAAGTTTCTGGCACATTTGGAACTTCCCCTGCTGCCGTGCGTTGAAATACAAAACTACGTCCTGAAACGAAACACAATCGTCCAAATGCATTGCACTGCTGGGCTTCAATGTAGAGGGGAAATTGTTACATTTTACAAAATTGGTCAGAATTGCTTTTTTTTAACGAATGCATTTTTGTAGGCGGCTCGGCGGATGACCAGTTAGCACGTCCGCCTCAGAGAGTTTGCATGTTCTCCCCGTGCCTGTGTGGGTTTTCACCAGGTACTCTGGTTTCATCCCACATTCCAAAAACATGAATGGTCGGTTAATTGAACACTATATGGTGTCCCTGGGTGTGGTTGTGAATATGAAAGTTGTTCATCTGTGTATGCCCGGCAATTGATTGGCAACCTGTTCAGGGTGTTCCCCGCCTACTGCCTGAAAACAGCTGCAATAGGCTTCAGTACGCCCGCGATTCTCGTGATGTTATGCGGATCAGATGATGGATGGATGGATGCATCTTTCTTCTTCTATTTATGCACGTGACTTGTAGTGACAGGAAGAACATGGAAAGGCTTTTCCACTAGATGGCAGTAAACACAGCATGAATCCGTTTATCCACTTGTTGCCAAATATAACAGAATACGTCTATGTATCCACTTTGTGTTCAAATAAACCGGCCCTGAATTCACACTAAGTCAATTTGTGAGGAATTTGAAACAAGAGCGTCATTATTTCAGTATATATACCGATTGTGACATTTTCCGCTTTGGTGGTGTGGCTAAGAGTAAAAGTACCCCGGTGCCTATAATTTACAAACATTACGAAAAAAGTATCTCAAGTTTGGGAAACACTGAATACAATGAATACTTACCTGACACAGTCCAGGGGCGATTGTTCCGGAGGAGGGCTGAGCACCAAAATGTGCCAACTTCCGGAAGCGGAAGTGGATAGGAAGATGCGGACAGAGATTCTGCAGCACGCAAAGGTGTTCCCCACGCTGACCCACATCACAGGTGGAAAAGTCGAATCTATTGGAGGGACTTGGAAGCAGAGCCACAGGCAAGCCGGTGCCCGTAACAGCCAACTCGACAGTGCTCGTGCCTGGAAAGAGACAAGTGATTAGAATATTCCTGTATTTATGAAGTATTTCACTCATCTCAGCCTAATTTTCTACCAACACAAGGACGGGGGAAAACCATAACAGAGATTTGAACGGGAACTTCAAAACTATGAGGCCGCACTGGGAACCATTCTCCACCATACCACTTATCAAAAATTGTGGCATAGAAAAAAACTAAAACAAAATCTTAAAAACGTATTAACGAAATCAACAAGTGTTTTCTTTTATCATACAAATATGATTTTTTTTTCCTGCTTAGGTAATATGATGACATACTTTTCTCGACACAAGCAACTACAATTACAAAATAGAATGATGTAAAATAAACTTTGAATCTGTATAAATTACAGTCTACAACTTCAGATAACCACTTTCGGTGCCTTCAATTTTGTCACTCAGAAATTAAGGAAAATGTAGGGAAAAAGTATGTGTGCTTGTGAATACCATTTCGATGAGTGAAGCCATGTTTGCTTCTAACCGAGTCCAGGTGCAGAAAAAGACAATAGTCCTGCCGAGTGGCTTGGCAGCGAGGTTTCACTTGTAGTCTGAGGGTGACAATTGAGCAATTTCTGTAAGTTACAATACACTGGTGCCTCGAGACACAAATTTAATTTGTTCCGTGAACACACTTGTAGCGCAAAATCAATTGCATCTCAAATCATCGTTCCCCATTGCAATCACTGACAATGCCATTGATCTGTTTCAGCTCCCAAAAACATTTTTTAAAAAGTTAATTTCAATAAGAGCAGTAGCGCTCTGCTAAATTGTACTTTATAAAAACAGAGTTGTGACATAATTAAATTGAATGTCAATACATAAACAGTTTTTGCCATTTTTTTTTTTTTTTGGTCTCGGTTCAATGGACATTATGTGTCCCGTCTGGTGTACGTGAATTGGCCACTTGGGGGCAGTATAGTACAAACATCCAATTATACATGAAATGGTTGGTCACAATTGATCAGTAAACTGGAGTGCTATTCGTCAGTCTTTATGGAGGAAAAACAATATAGGCCTGCATTTTTATATTATCTGCGTACATGTGTTGCTCCACTATTTGTACTCTAATATTTCTCCCGAAACAATTTTAACACAGAAGTCTGCTGGCATATGCTCCAACATGCTCGCGACCTTTGTGAGAATAAGCAGATTAGAAACTGGATGAATGGATGAAAATTTTATGGTTACCTATGGAAAATGGGGCTAAAGCGTACTGCTACAGTCGTTTTCTTATATGGTCCCAATCGGCCTTGGTTCGGAATGCACTCCACTACCGGACATGGGCAGCGGGGGGCTGGGCTGCACCGCTGCATTTTGGCCAGCACAGCGACATCTGTGCTGTTGTCAAGGTTTGCTCCCTAACACAGCAGCATCATCTTCATAACATTCATTGCAATATTGATTCCAGTTATCCAGTCATTTCCAAAGGGCATCACTTACACTTTCGGTCCCGGCAGCAGAACCTTCAAGTAAGTAGACCCAGTCGCATGCTTGGGGCCCATTATTTGTTAAGACCACACGCTCCACACGGGATGTCCCAAAGTAGACAGGTCCGAAGCACAGACGGGACACGGGAGCCCCCTGGATTATAGAGTTACACGCAAATTTATATTTATATGATTAGCATTTCAAGACATTGAGTTGGGTAGCACATAGGTGACAGTAACTGGCTGCAGTACCTGTAAGTCCAAGATCTCAAGATGCTGTTCAACCACGTGAGCTCTGATCCGGAGAACCACAGTGGAGCAACTCTGAAGCCTGACCCTGGGAAGGCAGTCAAGACATGCACAAAGTGGAATTAGTCAAATGTTTTACTTCTACCGAGGTTGTTTTCCCATCACTGCTTTTTAGTAATCAAGCCAATGCAAAAACTACAACACAAATTTGCGCTGAAGACTATTAATTGCATTAGAAATTTCAGTGCAGATTCAAAGAAAGAAATATGTTCAATTTTCAATAGCATGCGGTTTCAAAATCAAATGAAAACAAGCTTACATGGCATTTTCATCAACTTTTCTGGGTTTGTCAGCGTGCAGTTCAACTGTCAACCGTCTGGTGGCGCCAGCCGCTACAACTCCACTGGAAGGAGAAAGTCGGACCAAGGAATCTCCAATGTGCAGCACTTGGAACACACCTTCAAACATCATGCATGAACAAGAGATAAAAAATAAAAGAGGTTCTGCAATAAACCCCTGAAATGACATTGATGAACGCGACTTACCTGACGCTGATCCGTGATTGGTGATAGGAATACATCTGCTGATGATCTGACTGCTGGCAGGAATAAAGCCAAAGTCCAATTCGGAGTCCATGGATAGTGAGCAACCCCGAGGAGAACTACATTAACACATTCACAAAAGGGAATTAAACAAACACAACATCGTCAGACACTTCAACTAAACCTGACTAAAAAAGTATTTTCACGCTTCATACATCTGCAGTGGGACTTCAATGGCTTCCGCTGCATCTACATGAACATAAATGTAGTCTGTGACCGCCTCCTCTTCCTCGGGGATGAACTCCAGTAAGCCACTCACAGACAAACCAGGCGCCACGTTCTTAGCAATTCTGGGTGCTGAGAATTTAAAAACCTGTGAGAGGTGGGGGAAAAAAAGGAAAATAAAAATCCGTTCACCCAATCACACAGTTGAAAGAAAAGGTATTAGAACCCTTTAAAAATGGCTTTCTATTCAAAAGAAGGAGTAGGCATTTCCCGATGAGAACCATTTCTTCAACAAAAGAACTCTCTGAATATTTGCAATTAAAAATTGTGAACTTGCATGAAGCTGGAAAGGTCGCCAAAGTATCTCTTCAAGCCTTGATATTCGTCACTGCTGCTACTCTCCCTAGGATTCTCCATCCCCTAAAGAGGGCTGCCCATCAAAGACTTTGAGTGTCGGCTTCATAGTGCAAGGGTGCATTGTTCGATTCCAGCTGCGGCCTTCCTGCGTGGAGTTTGCATGTTCTCCCCGTGCCTGCGTGGGTTTTCTCAGGGTACTCCGGTTTCCTCCCATATTTCAAAAACATGCATGGTAGGTTGATTGGGCACTCAAAATTGTCCTTAGGTGTGATTGTGTGTGAATGGTTGATCGTCTATGTGTGCCCTGTGATTCGCTGGCGCTCCGCCAGTCACCTGGAACTTAAAATGAAAGGAAGTGTTTCATCCTGCTTGCCAAATTCAGCAGTTGGTTGCCCATATGGAGTTGCCCAGAATGGGCGATGCAACAGGACAGACTCAAGGACAAAAAGAAAATACCTCTTCGGAGTGGCCCAGTCGGCCTCCTGACATGAACTTAATTGAGATGTTGTGGCATGACCTCAAGAAAAAGATTGCCGCACTTAAAACGTTTGGAGATTAACGATACAAAATTCCTCCTGACTGTAGTGCAGCAGAAGTCCAGTTGGTTGACGTTACTTCAGGTAAAGAAGGCTCTCAATAGCCTTATTGCAGAATTGTTTATGTGGTAGGTGTTTTAAGAAAACGGCTCAGTGTTGAAGCACAATTTTGCACATGACAAACTGAAGTTTGTTATTGCTAAGAAAACTGATAGCTTGTGCTAATGGAAGCTAATAATGGCAGTGCATTGATAACTATTAATTGAGACAGTCTGAGATTTTAGAAAATGGCGATGTACTTTACCTTTAATTTGGGGTTTTCAAAGAATATTTCCCTCGTGATTCTGCCAACGTTGGTGGCTGTGATGACAGTCTTGTAGATCTTTCCCAGTTGCACGTCCTTGAATTCGACGAACGGCGGGTCAACATGAACGCAATTCTTGGCCATTATTAACTACTTCTCTAAAGCGCCCAAGAAAATTATTGTACGTTACTCGTGTTTTTCGAGATATCCACTTTCTATTTGTGTTTTCGTCGGGGCGCCGTCCAACATATCCATTGCTATGGTAACATCAATCGCGTAAAAATGATCAAATAGTACACGCGTTGATCGACAACTCAATATGTTGGTACGCGGCGGCAACGTAAAGCGCGTGACGTGTAAGATGTCTCTGAAATGGGAATTTAATGTTTCGTTGTGAGTAAAAATTGTTGCCTCGAAATGTTCAACTCATACTGGCATACGGCTTCGTTCCTTTACGCAAATTCCAAGTCGTCGTTACCTTGACAGAGGTCCGACGCTACGCTTGTTTGTTTCCGGGGAAACGACTCGCCGACATTTTGCAACCTTCGGCTTCAGTACAATAAAACACGGCGAGTTGTTTCTCAATGAATAGACAACTCGTGGTAGGAAGTAAGTATTAGTTATTACTTCGATAATATACTTGAATAGATCGTTTAACCAAAGGAAGCCGTTGGTGGGAAATGGCTAAGTACAAATATTTGCCACCTGATACTTCTGAAATGAAATGCAGACAGCAGTGGTTATACTTCATTAGTTTATACCAAAATCAAAGGCAGTCAATGTTGGAGAAATAAGGAAGCACAAATACTTTGTGTACTTAAAGTAGATATAAAACGGAAGGAAAACAAAGTTTTGAACATTAATTATTGCTGGAGAAAAAATAGATTTGATCAAGGTACTGGGCAAATGTGTTCTAACATCAGATCAATTTAGCAAGAATAAAAGAAAAAGATGGAGATTTTCTAAACAATGTAAAATCAATGTGACATTTCCCATATTTCATCATCATAAATATTATTAGTAGATTTACTTTCACAAGGTGCCACTGAATCATGGAGGTGGTAAGTGGTTGCTGGTTCTTCCTTATCCTCCACATTCTGCTCTGTATTAGCAATAGAATCCACAAGGGCATTGTTGGATTTTTGTGTACTGAGGTGATCAGCTTCAACACCTTCATCAGCTGGTGGTTGACAGGCGGCTCCCGGACATGATAAACCGCATCTCGCTTGGTCAGATGCTGTACCAGATTGGTTGTCTGATGAACCAAGTAGAGCTTTATCATCAAGTTGTCCGGAACCAGCTTGGTCACCAAGTGGTCCTCGGTCCAGACTATTCTGTGTCAAGCAGTGATCAACTGTGGTCTTGACTGTCCCGTTAGCTGGACCAATGTCCATGTTTTCCTCCTTGGGTCTCTTTGGCTTGATGGCGGCTTCGGGAGTTGAAGTCCCACCCTCGACAGAACATCTCTTGCGACCAAAAAGAGAATCAGACGAAGTCCTGCATCCGTTCCTGACTTCCTGATCTGAACTTCCAGCAGCTTGCGTCCGTTCGATCCCCAGCTGGAGTTGGGTTTTACTCTCCAGCCCAAAAAAGTCATTTCGGACCACGTAGCGAACACACTGGAGGAGGACGTTTCTCTCATGCCGGATATCGGGGGCAAGTAGCTGAACAAAACAACAAAGAAAATCAGGCTCAGCATTCTCCCAAAACTAAATATTATACTGTGCGTTTTTTTTCTCCAGTCTAAATGCAAATGTGTTGTACTTAAGAGTGAAATACAAATGAACTGTACTTCACAAATGTACTGTACTAGATTAAAAACATATTTAAGCCGCTGTCACTATACATGGTTAATTCAGTCATTGCATTACAACCACACTAGTCTATGTACTCTTGTGGCTGAAGAGATATCAGACAGTTCAATGTAAAATCCTCACCATCTCGAGCAGAGTGGCCCGCCGTTTCTGCGGCATATCTTGATATGTACGCCGACCACGCCTTCCTCCTCTTCTCCCTTGTCCTCTTTGTTTGTTGTTTGATGTGTTCGAGGCAGACCAAGGACATGACCCGTTGGAAGCTTGCCTGTCCTGTGTGGAGGTTTTGGCATCCATGACAGGTCCGTTGTTCTGGTCAAGTAAATCCTGGTTTTCTTGGAGCAACTTTTTGGCTCTTTGTATAGTAGAGTCTGAAATGTCAAAGGATGACAAAATTATCACACCGAATAGGAAAGCATACCAAAATCATGCTAATGCAGAACAAAAAGGACAAATAGTGTAACCCACCCTGTGCTGCTTCATCAGTTTCACTCTCGCTCATGGAGCCATAGTTGGCTACAAGAGACCCCAATGCGGCGCTCATCTGTTTTGGCGCCACAATAGGGCCAGTGGCCATGGAGTCAGCGTCCACATCATCTTTGTCGGACTCTTAACGGGAAGGCGTGGGAAAAATGAAATAACAAGTCAGAACAATTTGGAAAAATAATCGAATTGTGATTTTTTTCCCCTCAATATTACAATTGTGATTTAACATGCAATCATTTTTTTCAAGATCTTCCCGTGTATTTATTTTTTTTAAACAAAACAATAAATCGATTGCAGCCTTTGAAAACTGCATTTTACTACACTGCAATGTGGGTTTGCATCTGCTTAATTATTCAGCCCGAGACACAGAGTCAGTTTGAGACATCTTGTGGCATTCCTGCTCTCACCCACCAATGTCACTTTTGGCCAACGCTCCCAGCGGATCACCATTCTGGCCAGGCTGGTTGAGGGGTGGCGGTCTCCCTGCTCCGGCGCCAGCGTCAGATGGATGCACACCTTGAGGACGTGGCCCGTGGAACCTTTGATGACCTCTCCCACGGCGTCCTCTGCCTCTCATGCGTCTATACAACATGGCATAAAAGATGTTCAAAACCCCCAAATAGTTTAACTCAGCCAACAACAATGACTCATGCCATTTATTACTAAGCCCATGCCAAACAATGCTTCATATACCTCTTTTTGACCCCCCCCCCCCCACAAAAAAAAAAAAAAACTTCGTGCTTGTTCGGCACCATCGCTCTTATGGAGGGACACAATTGTGCCGGAGTTCACCGCTCAACAGTTTTACATAATTGTCGATCAGCGGCCCGGTGAGTAGTTTGCACGTTGACCTCACAGTGCAGAGGTCGTGTGTTTGATTCCGCCTCCGGCCTCCCTGTGTGGAGTTTGCATGTTCTCACCGGGCCTGCGTGGGTTTTCTTCGGGTATTCCGGTTTCCTCCCTCATTCCAAAAACATGCATGGCAAGCTGATTGAACACTCAAAATTTGCCCGCAGTGTGATTGTGAGCGCGAATGGTTGTTGGTCTCTGTGTGCCCTGCGCTTGGCTGCCAACCGTTTCAGGGTGTCCCCCGCCTACTGCTGGTAGACAGCTGGGATAGGCTCCTGCATGCCCCGCGACCCTTGTGAGGATAAAGCGGATCACAAAATGGATGGATGGAAAAAGAAAGAAGAGGTGCTAACCCGGACACTGGCCCGGTACTAGTACTAGCACAAACACAGTGGAAAAGGTCCAAAAGTTACCCACCTCCTTTCATTTGTTGAAAAATTTCCTGCTTCACAATCTTCTCAATCGTCTAGCCCAAACTGAACTGGGAACTTGCTGGCCCATGTTCTCCCCCCACAGAGTTGCAATATGCGGAAATTGGTTAAGATGTTTTCGAGTAACCTACCCGAACTGAGCCGTCTCCAGAACCGCTCCCGTCTTCTCCCGTTCCTGCATCAGTTTTCTCTTTTTCTCAATATTCTGCAAAGTTGGATAGTTCCTGGAAAGAGGAGTCAAAACTCACGTCGTTGACTACCACCTCAAGATTTGCCAGCATCCATTTGGGATATACATACTTGCGCCTCTCCTCTCTCCATTTAGCAATCTCTTCTGCGGTGTCCAGCTTAATTCTCTTCATTCCGGGTGCGTGGGTCTGCAAAATAGCATGTTATATTATCAGCAAAGGGCACAGCATAACAGAGGACAAAGTGTTCTGGTGTCTTACATTTTTCCAGTGAATGCTGACTATTTTTTCATGTGCCAAGAAGCTGCAGTCTGGGACGGAGCACTATAAGGTAGGAGAGTCGGGATTCTGCTGGTTAGAAGCAGTCAAAATCTGGGACTGGAATAAAAATATTACCTTAACATGTTGTGCAACATGCTCGCCGTACTTCTCCTGGTTCTTGAATCCTCGGTCACAGGTGTCACAAAAATGCAAAAAATCGGGGTCCTTCTTGTTTTGACGCTAAAAGATAAAAGGCAGTGCCCAGTTAGTATTAAGCAGTTTCAGAAAACTGGAGTCCCCAGTTCAGTGGATAGCATGTCACAGTGGGATTGCAATCGTAATAAACCAGATGGTGGCAGATTTTCTGAAATGAAAAAAAGAAACAAAAGGAAGGGAGCGTAGAAAAAAAAAGTCCCAAACTATGCTCCTGGAAATGGAGGGACACAGTATGGGTTTGGGGGAAAAAATTGTGTTGTAAATACTGCACTTTGTAGGACCATATAGTGATTCCTAACAAGCATGCAGATGGAATTTGGCAATTGGATTATGAAGGAGTCCTTGAAAAATTGTCTCCACTCGAAGGGGTAACTGGACCCCCAAAAAAGTGACATAGAGGATTAAAAAAAAAAAAAGATGATCACAATTACCTTTTTCCCACGGTTGGCTGCTGGTCTGTAATTGCTCCAGTTTTGTTGTCCAGCGTGATACCATTCACGACCTGACCAATTTGAGAGACAATCACTCAGTCATCATGAAAACGTAAGACAATAAATACACCAGGAGGTCATATTAAACACGACGTAACACACATTGCACATTTGCTTGTTGGGGGAGGGATTGGGAACTATACCAAAATGCAATTATTTCAAATAGCGCCTACTGGACTTAATAAAATAAATATTAAGTTCTATGGAAAAAGTAGAAGAAATTGAGCGGTCTCGAATGCACCAAATAGTTGGGTCTTTTGAGCACGAATAACACCGTTACTCTTCATGAACGTGCACGTTTTTATCATCTGAAAAGCAGCTCATAAACGTCGGCGCTCACCGTATGAATATTGAGATCCATAGTTTGTTGAGTGGGAAGCAGCTCCTGACGCTGGTCGGTAGTTGCAGTTCGCTTGGCTGCCGTATGCCCAGTTGGGCTGAGGTTCCGTAGGTGACTCGTTCCAAGTCCACATGCTGGCGTGGAAGCTGCTTCTTGAGCTGGGTGGCTGAGATCGCGACAGTTGGATGGTGTTCGGAGGAGGACAGTCAAAGTTGGGTGGAGGATAGGAGCCAAGATTATCCATACTGCACACCAAAAGTCTTAGTGACAGGAATAAAAGAAAAAGAAAAGTAGCTGGCCTCTTCTTGCCCAGCACTCACATGTGCTTGTTTTTGCTTCTTCAATCTCCTTTGCTTGGTGTGTGTCGGTTTGCTATGAGCTTTGAGTTCCACTACCGCCACCTAGAGCTTAAAAGAGGAATACTTGAAAGGGTTGCCTATTTTGCAAAAGAGTATTTCTTTCGGAATACAGTATTTGGAAACACTGACAATTTTGTATTACTGTACTGTAATACCATCCATCCATCCATCCATTTTCCGACCCACTTTATCCTCACAAGGGTGGCGGGAGGTGCTGGAGCCTATCCCAGCTATCTTCGGTATACCAAATTATTATTATTATTATTATTATTATTATTATTATTATTATTATTATTATTATTATTATTATTACTATTATTATACAAATCGCAACAGTCGCGGTAACTATACACGTGTTGTAACTATTTTTACGAGAACAGAGTTGGCAAACGTACATGGATTTGATGTCGTGCAGTTACATTTTTGTTCTATAGAGGGCAGTAGGATACTGAATTTCCCCCACGCGTGCAGTCTTTTTCCCCCGAAGAAGAAGCAGCAAAAAAAAAACGTGGTGTGCGTTTTACAGTGAGGGACCGCTGGCGTGGAGCTGCACTAAACTCGGATGAACACAACGTAAAGACAACCCAGGTTTAAAAAAACAACAACAAGGAGCGACCCACGCCTGCTGCGAAAATGCTCGTCTTGTTTGAGACCGCTGCAGGCTTTGCCATTTTTAAAGTACGTCATCAAAACCGTCTTTTCTATTTTCAGGAGTGTCGCAACGTGGGTTAGCTTACATTAGCAAATTTGCTATCTGCCGAGATATTTTGTACCTTCGACGGACCCTTCTTTGAATGATGATATCCGATATTTAGTCCAATGTAGGAGATTGTGCAACTGCAATCCGCCTTCTGCACTTGAATATATGACATATGTCTTGTTAAAAGTTTCCAACATGCTGTCGACCGACCGGCCTTGCAACCACGTGTGTGAGTTAAGTTAGCTTTTTTTTCCCCCTCTAAGGTTCTTGATGAATCCAAACTGCAGCAGATCGACAGTCTGTACAAGGAGTTTGAGACTCCTGAAAAGGCAAATAAAATGTGAGTAAACATGCCGCACGGGCGAGCTGGTCCCGTCGAATGCAATGTTTCCCAATCATTATGAAATCAAGGCACATATTACATTAAAATTTCGCGGCACACCACCAAATAAAAATGAGTGGAAAAAAATGTAGTGATGGCTTGCTTGCAACTCAAAAGTCGGCTAATGAAATACAGCTTATTTTAGGAAACTTTATATTACTCTTAAGTTATTGTTTTTCATGGTGAAGGTGAACATTTTGTTGACGGTCCGTTATTGTTTTTCAGTGTGAAACTAAAGCACTTTGAGAAGTTCCAGGACACGACTGAGGCTTTGGCAGGTAATTGACACACCCTGTTCTCCACAGCTAAAGCATGTCACATACAGGTCTATGATGCATTTAATGTTTCTGACTTAATGGTGAAGTATATCGTACTCGTCACTACCCCTGAGACCACAAACTGGGCATTTGTCACGTGATGTCACTGAGCGTTGTCAATAAGACTGTGTATTTTCCAGACCCTGTTACTTCTTTTCATTAATGCAGTTTTGTTTGCTTCCTCAACTCAGCTGCCACTGCCCTCGTCGAGGGTAAAATTAGTAAAAGTTTGAAGAAGGTGCTGAAGAAGATGGTGGCTAAGGAGGCTCACGAACAGCTGGCCATCAGTGATGCAAAACTCGGTGGCGTCCTCAAAGTAGGTGACTCGACCACCGTGTTGATGCCCATCCTTAATTGCGGCATTGTTGGGAAGAATCAAATTTCCCTCGTTTTTTAGGAAAAGCTGGACCTTAGTTGCATCCACAGCCCCGCTGTCGCCGAACTCATGAGGTGCATCAGGAGCCAGATGGAGGGCCTCATCTCGGGACTTCCACCCCGAGAGATGAGCGCCATGTCGCTGGGCTTGGCTCATAGGTAAACGTCGATGCGCTTTTCGCGTCGTCTGATGAACCGCTGTCTATGATTACACGTTGCTGTCTGAAACGCCCTGTAGATTTTTCTCAGCATTCGTCACTACCACTGAGGCGGCAGTCTCCCTCATGGGAAATCCAAAAGTTATGTTTTGGCATGTCCTGTGTTCCTCCCCGTGATTTATATGTTTGTTTGCGTATGTTTTCCCCAGTCTGTCCCGTTACAAGCTCAAGTTCAGCCCTGACAAAGTGGACACCATGATCGTGCAGGCTATATGTAAGTGTGGTTACATGATTCTGTTTTGGTTATTTTAGTTGGCAAATTCTAAATTGTATGATCCCAAGAACGCTCCACTTTTGAGTTTACGCAATATGTAGTAGTAGCTTTGTAATTAGAATGCTTGAACTGAAATGTACTGCTGTGGAAACAGACTTTTAGAGGCAACAAGTTGTCATTTTTGTTTTGGGGGGCTCTCTGCAGCGCTCTTGGACGACCTGGACAAGGAGTTGAACAATTACATCATGCGATGCAGAGAGTGGTATGGCTGGCACTTCCCCGAGTTGGGGAAGGTCATCACCGACAACTTGGCCTACTGCAAGACGGTCTTGAAAATCGGCGACCGCACCAACGTGGCCAGCAGCGACCTTTCGGAGCTGCTCCCCGAGGAAGTCGAGGCCGAGGTGAAGCTGGCAGCTGAGATCTCCATGGGAACCGAAGTCTCTGAGCAGGACATCAGTAACATTCGGCACCTGTGCGAGCAGGTATGTTTTCCGCGGCAATATTTGGTTCGTTGGTAAGGTGTAGGTGACCTTGGTGATGATGACGACAAATGTCTTCCTCCAGAAACAATGATGTGGGTTTTTTTCAGTCACTACCTCATCTGAATGGTCCCTCGGCTCTCTTCTTGACAGCCACTTCCCAGTTTCTTTTCCTAAGAGAAAGGTTCCCTTTTTGTGCAGGTGATAGAAATTTCGGAGTACCGCGCTCAGCTATACGACTACCTGAAGAACCGGATGATGGCGATCGCCCCCAATCTGACGGTGATGGTGGGCGAGTTGGTTGGCGCCCGTCTCATCTCGCATGCCGGTGAGTCATGTCGGAATTTCGGCACTGTAGCAAGCTCGGGCGCTGAAGATCACGACACTCTTGTCGATTTGAACTGAAACATGTCTGATGTTTTTAAGTCACTACCTCTTCTGAGCTTTCAAAGATGATCCGACTTGAGAAGTTCGACCCACGAGCCCGGGGGCTCGCTCACTTCCTCTTTTTGTGACCCAGGTTCGCTATTAAATCTGGCAAAGCACCCAGCCTCCACAGTTCAGATTCTGGGGGCAGAAAAGGCACTCTTCCGAGCACTCAAGACCCGCAAGGACACGCCGAAGTACGGTCTCATCTACCACGCCTCTCTTGTGGGCCAGACCACTGCCAAGAACAAGGGCAAGGTACAGTCCAAGTGAACTCCCAGCCGGGACCATTCAACTATTTCGGCTTGGAACAAGTGTGATTTTTATTGTATTTTTTTTTTTTCCCCTGTCCAGATCTCCAGAATGTTAGCGGCCAAAACATCCCTTGCCATCCGCTATGATGCCCTCGGGGAGGACACAAACGCAGAAATGGGTGTGGAGAACCGAGCCAAACTGGAGGCCAGGTTACGGCTTTTAGAAGAGAAAGGAGTAAGTTGAAACATCCCCGACTTGACTTCCTGTCAAGGAGGATTAGTGTCCATAGGTCCGTGTTTCTTAGTTATTTTGTTTGCATCCCCCGAAATAGAGGTTCTCAAACTTTTCACACCAAGTAACACCTACCAAATATTTTGCTCTCCTCGTGACTAATGTTAAAATACTGTAGCATCGTCTTTATGGGGAAAAAAATGAAAAAAAAGCACAGCGTAAGCCACTGTCACATTATCCACAGTTTATCCATTAACACATACCGGGGGGAAAAATGCTTCAATCATGTTTCAATTAAAATGGACCGCAGCAACGTTAAATAATGTTACCTCATTCGCACATTAACTTTTAAAAACACTATTAAGATTAAAAGCAAATGTAGTAAAAGTTAAATACAAAAGGTTTGTACCACACTGCAAGCAGTGATTCTTCTTCTACCATGAATGATATCACACTTTGAGAATTGCAGCTCTTGCGTTTTATGAAAACGTTTTTTTTTTTATTTTTCAATGAGGTGTAATGTAAAAGTATGTTTTATGCATAAGGTTGTTTAAATCCAATCGGATCTGGTCCTGATGTTTCCAGGGCACTTTATTGTATTTTGTTCCCTCTGATATGGAATATATTTTGGGTAGGGATAAGACTAATGTTAATAACTTAGTGCCAAGTGTTTAAGCCTTGACGCATAATTTTGATGTCGTATGTAAGGTGAGTATGTTTCGACGGCTCTGTTATTCTTTATAGATTCGAAGGATCAGTGGAACTGGCAAAGCCATGGCCCAGGCAGACAAATATATGCACAAGAGGTAAATTCTGTCGTCGTCAACAACACTTTTCTCATTTTCTCCATATTATATGACCATAAACAGCGTGAACCTCTGATTCCCCCCCAAATAATAAAACAGTGAAGTGAGACTATACGACCCGTCCGGGGATTCTTTGATCCCCTCCACTTCAAAAAAGAGGAAGTTTGAAGAGATTAAGGAGGAGGAGGAAGAAGAGGCTTTAACGCCTGCGGTGAAAGCCAAAAAGGCCAAAAAGGAACAAAAAGCAGCAGCAGGTGGGTGGTGTAAGAGCAAAATGTAGTGTGATTGAATACATGTTTTTTTTTTAATCTGAATTTCACTTGTGTGTAACAGAGGAAGAAGACGAAACATCCGCAGCTGCCACTGAAGAGCCCCCAAAGAAAAAGAAGAAAAAGAAGAAAGATAGTGCTGAGGCGCCAAAAGAGGAGGAAGAGAGTGTCGTGGTGACTGAGGTACAACTTGTTTGCACCACAGCTTTTTTTTTTTGTTTACATGGATGTTGAGTAATGCTGACTTTTTTATCTCTAGCCAACAGAGAAAAAGAAAAAGAAGAAAAAGAAGGAGGCGGAAGACTGAAAGGAACAATGTATATATTTTTTGTTTTTGTCTTTTTTCAATCATGCGGTTTTCGTTTTCTTTAAGGGGTCAAATGTTCACATTATGTCTCATTTATGGTTTTTCTACTTCTTCAAATGGTTTTTCTGACAGAGGTTTGCCCGGACTGAAAAAGTAAAATGTGAACCTTTTTAATGACCATGATTTAAGTTAGTATTTGAACATCTGTATCAAATCCGCTCCGTTGCAGACTAAGAAACAAACTTGAAGATTGCAGAAGCAATAAATATATTTTTTTCCGTTTTAGTGCAATTCATGGAAATGTATGTTGTGAGACATGGTAACGCTATGTTATTGGACACCACAGCTTTCCTGTCTCTACTGTTAGAGAGAAAAGCATTTCTCACAATCTGATGCTGCAGTGTTTCACAGTGGAGATTGTGTTCAAGGTAATGTGCATAAGTCTGTCATATTCTATCTACATATATACACCGGCGGGAAAAATGTTTTTGTAAGCACCAGATAATAGAAAGTAGATATCAAAACACACAGATTAAATGGTATTTTCAAGTGAGGTGTCAAAAACAGCAACAAAAAAAAAGTATTCTGTAATTTTAAAGCTCAACGATACAGAAGAGGTTCTCCAAGATAAAGCGGCAAATGTCTTGCCGCCACTTTATGACACAGGTCTCAAACTCAAGACCTGGGAGTCACATCTGGCCCACCTCACCATTTTATGTGGATTGTGCCTCAATTTATAATTCATGCTAAACTACAAAATTGCAAATGTTTAAAATGTTGAGATATTGCAAGCATTTTTGTTACTCCATTTATTACGGATCCCCTTTTAAAGTAATTACTTTTGAACAAGCAGTTTTTACTCGCCTATAATCTCAAAACTACATGAAAAATGTGTTTAATTTACTCAATTTTATTTGACGTGGTTTATCTGAATCAAGATACTGTACGTTTTAAAGTTAAATCTATTTTCTCCTTAAAAATATGTGTCTTGATCCAGATTTTATGTGCAACCACTTGACAAAGTACAATTGAGTAAATTCAAAAACTTTTTTCAGGGTAGTTATACATTAATTTGTTGTGCATGTGTGATATGAGATGATTTGTTGGGGTTCACAGCCCTCCGAAGGAAACCATTACTAGGATGTGGCCAGTTATGACATACAGTCTCAGAATGGGAGTTGCAGAAGGCACAATTCAGGTCTACAGTATATCATAACGAGACTTTACAGTGAGTGGGATGTTTGGGACACAATAAAAAAAACGAAATAAAAACCATATATTTCTATTTCAAGGTATTTATATTCAGCCCAAACAATAATGGTGTATTTGTACTAATATTTGAAGTGCAAATGTTTCCCCGAGAATGAAAATCGGCCCCCAAAAAAGAAAAATGTTAATTACTGCCGGCGGCAGGGCGGTTCTAGGCGTTCATGTTGTTACAAGGAAGACTGCGATCTGTGATCAAATGTTTTATTTTAAAACATTAAACGCCTTTTTCGTGAGGACAAAAAATGTTACCGACTGACGTTATCACTTGTGTCCAGTCTCATTTAATTTCCCACAATGCATTTCGAGGCCAGCGCCTACGTAGGTACGCAATCCGCTGGCTCATCAGTTGCTCTGAGATCTGTTGCTTTTCCTTGTTGCTACCACATGGCACGACTGCGACACATTCTGTCCGGAAAATGTTATTGACGAACACGTTTGGCGTCTTGTCTTTTTAGTTTATGTTCGTTAAGTGGGTTCCATACACATAAGTCATAATAATGTCGCAGTTACAAGCGAGGTTTTACACAGAAAACCCAAGGTAAGAGGACAAACCAAAACACGATTGAAAATCTCGTGTCTAGCTTGATAGCTAAATGTGTATAGCTTACAGTAATGTAGTCCAGTAAATGAATAAATTGGTGGGGAATCCGTACGAATGCAACAAATCCTGCTGCTGCTTCTCTTGGTGCTTTATTGTATTGTTTTTAGTCTAACAAAATGTCTCGTTGTAGGTATACAATAGATGATGTGCCATTCTCCATCCCAGCCAGTTCGGAGGTCCATGATCTCAGCAATGTCATCAACAAGCTACTGGAGGCCAAGAATGGTTTGATAATTCTTGATTTTATACATGATTGCATTTGTCATTTAAACAGCAGCGTGAGAGTCGCCATAAGGACCTCTTCCTTTTCACGCGAGGAAAGTTAAAATTTCCCTTTGAATCTAATGCAGAATTTTAAAGTACATGTTATCATGTTAAAATGAATATTGGTCAAGCTCCGTTACTTTTTTTTAAAAATCACTGCAAACAGAAGAACGTGCTTGTATTCTGACAGGGTGGACGTTTTTGGCTCAGTCAGCATTTGAGTTAGCATTCTGCCTGTATACTGTGAAACACATGTAATTGAAAGTTCAAAATGTACACTTTTCACTATGACAAAGTGTACATTTTAATTATGAAATCTTTCAAAATGTAAGAGTTTATATAGCCACTGTTGCCTCACTGGAAGCATCACAAAAAAGCTAGTCAGAATGTCACACAGTGGGTTTCTTAAAGGGGATGTTAACCCATAATGACAGAGTGGACAGCAATTACATAATTTTGAGAATAGTATTAAAATGATCAAAATGATTTTTTTTTCTTAATTGATCGATCTCTTTTGGACAATAAAATCATGTGACAATGCTTTTGTGTCATTTAACCACAAACTGTATTTAGAACAGCAGAGTGTGGGGCATGCCAAACTCAGACATCCAATAGGGAAAAATGTAAAGTGAAGGAAATGCACTGAGGGAAATTATCATTGTCAAGGAATAAGTGTGACTGTTTGGCCCCTCATAACACCACCTCAGAATTAAAATTTTCTGCTCCATTTTCATGATGACTGAGTGATTCCGATGTAGACAGCAAAGATTTTTCATGATGCTGACCCAATAGCGTATTTTGCAATTGTTTTACATTTGTATGTTGGTTGTCTCCGCCACAGCATCTCATACCAAGGTGGACTTTGACTTCCTGGTCAGGGGTCAATTCCTTCGAATGCCATTGCTCAATCACATGGAAACAGAAGGCATCTCAACGGTATGGCTCAGCCTCGGTGCTTAGAATTGGCTGCATTCATTGAGGTCAAGGCTTAATATTTAGCTGTGTGTGTGTGTTGCAGGAAGAGGTTGTGGAGATCGAGTATGTGGAGCGGATCACAGCGCCACAACCCGAGGAGTGTATGATGCACGATGACTGGATTAGTTCCGTCGATGCAGATGCCGAGTGGTAAGATGATGGATGCGGTCAAGTCCCAGCTTTTCAACAACGCTGTAAAAGAATGATTTGTTTCGCCTTCTGTTTTGGCAGGATCCTGACCGGATCTTATGACAAGACCGCAAGTATCTGGTCCTTGGAGGGCAAAGCTATGACAAAAGTGGTTGGACACACAGATGTTGTCAAAGATGTCGCCTGGGTTAAGAGGGGTGAGGAGGGTAGAATTTTTCTCTTGAGACTCGTGCATTGGCCTGCTACATCATTTTAGGGCTGAAACCATGAATCGAATTACTGAAGTCACAGCGAGTTCTGTTCCTTGAGGCTTCAGGGATCGTTTTTTCACGCGGACTGCACAGTGATGGAAAGCCAGGAGGAAACAGTCTGTAAAAGGCAAAGAATGTCCAACGTTTGAAATAATTTCACATTTAAAAAGACAGTGTGCAATTTGTCTACTGCAAAGCAGAACTTGGGCAACACCACATCTCGATAGCCGACACGAGGCAACGTAAACATTGTTAGCGAAGACATTATAGCCTATCACCGCTAGGTAGAATTTATTTTAATGCCCTCACAAATTGCCACAAATAGTAACCACCAATGCACTATTAATGACTTTATTGAACAGTCACAAAATACACACACACACACAATGTGTATGCATTACCTTATTTTTGTTCTTTTGGAGCACGTGATTCAGATTTTTGATTTAGAACAAGAATCAGGAGGCTGGCTTTTATTTTTTCGGGGCAAACTCGCGGATTGGAGCTCAAAGGCTCAGGCCCCAATGCTTCCATGTGTAATGTGAGTCCGATATTTTTGTATTTCATGAACGGGCATGTTGGAATAACGAAATATTTTTACTTAAGTATTACCGGTGTCTACCTTATTAAACTCGTGCGAAACACTTTAGAACAGTTACCTTGTTGATAAAGTTTCCATGTCTTCAAATGTCCATGCTAAGTGAGAAAAAAATGTTTGTGCCAGACGGCCTGACTTCTTTGCTTTTGACCGCCTCGCTTGACCAAACCATCTTCTTGTGGGAATGGAACTCCGAAAAGAACAATGTGGTGGCCAGGCACTGTTGCCGGGGACACACGGGGAGCGTCGACACGGTCGCTACAGACCCCACCGGTTCAAAGGTACACCTCAGGTTGCGAGAAGAGTGAAAAATCAGAAGCGGGTTTTAAAATTCATACTTCTTTCTTTCAGTTCTGCAGTGGCTCCTGGGACAAAATGTTGAAGATATGGTCAGCAGGTTTGTTTCTCTCAAGAGAGTGATGACTAAATCACCTTGAGTGGCACAGAAAAAGGGATTTCATGCTGCAAGATTTGCTTGCTTTTCCAGTTCCCTCTGATGAGGGAGATGAAGTTGAGGAGCCCGCCGACAGGCCGAGGAAGAAACAGAAGACCCAGCAGATGGGCCTTACGAGGGTAAGTAGCAAATCGTCAGAATTTGGTGGGACTCATTGTTTTGCATAAGTCAACGTGGCCCTCACACATTTCCCCGTTCTCGCGCAGACGCCTCTTATGACGTTATCTGGGCACAATGAGGCGATCTCTTCGGTGCTGTGGTGTGACAACGACGAGGCTTGCAGTGCATCCTGGGACCACACGATCCGTTTCTGGGACGTGGAGACGGGAGAGATGAAGACAACCCTGGTAAAAAAATAATAATAATAATATTTGAGAATTTGTGCTTTGTTAAACTCCAAACAAGTCAAACATTTTCATGTAGTTGTTCTCGTAATTCTCGATGGGGAATTTTCCTTTGGAAGTCGAAGGTCCTGCTTGACTTTATTGCGCCTTCGATTGAAGTTGATTTTTAAGACAACCTTGAAATGAAATGACGTAATTCACAGACTGGGAGTAAAGTGTTCAACAGCATTTCCTACTCGCCTTTGTGTCGTCGGCTGGCGTCCGGCAGCACTGACAGACACATCAGGCTGTGGGACCCACGCACCAAAGGTATTCATTCCCACCTTTTGTTGGAAGTGAGTAGAATCTCCATATCCTGTAGAAACGCTTCCCTCTTTGCACTTTGCCTACTTCAGATGGTTCACTGGTGCTCCTGTCGCTGACCTCCCACACTGGCTGGGTCACCGCTGTCAAGTGGGCTCCGTCGCACGAGCACCAGTTGGTTTCTGGATCCCTGGACAACCTGGTCAAACTGTGGGACACTAGAAGGTCTGTATTAGTGGAATTATTATTATTAGATTATTTGGGGGTTTAAAAAGCCTCTCTCTCTCTCTCCCCACTTGGCCAATAAAGATGATTGTGATTCTGATCAAGCAATCGCTTATTAAAATGAGTTTTTGACTAATGTACAGTGCAGTATAACGTCTGCAAAGCCTCAAAGTCTGGTACCCGGCTGCAGTTTTTCCAATGTGCGTCGGCAGATGTACGATGCCCAGTTGTGTGGTGTGCAAAGAATATGCACTTTCTGAGGTTTTTGGTTTTTTTTGTGCTGGTTCACTTGAGTCGCGTTCGGTCGCATTGGCTAGTGTGCGGCAGGACAAAATAAAAAGACTGGGTTTGTTTTACATATTTAGCGTTGTGATTCGAACCTCTCTTTTATGATACACTTAAGACATTGGAGGATGTGGTTGTATACTGTGTAGGGTGAATTCACGTGTGGATTTATCTTTCCATTTTATCTTGTAGCTGCAAAGCGCCTCTGTATGACCTAGCGGCACATAAAGATAAAGTGTTCTGTGTGGACTGGACAGAAAGTGGGGTAAGATTGATGATGTGTATTGAGAGAAAAATGTACCGCTCATTATTTTTATGTTTTGATCCACTTGTGTGTTTCTCCTTTCAGCTGATGTTAAGTGGGGGAGCTGATAACAAATTGTACACCTACAAGTATTCATCTTGTCCGACTGACGCTGGAGCATAGTCACAACAGAGATCCTGTCGATGGAATCTTATTCTGTTCAAAAATCCTTTTTGTGACTCTTGTCTCATTTTTTTTTTTTTTTACACATTTCCAGTGGGATTGTTGCCATGTAACTTCCCTGAAAAATAAATGGATCTCCCAAATGTTGTCTCTTCTTTTCATAGATCAAGGTTATTACAGTTAATGAAAATTGAGAAAATAACCGCAACTAAAATTGAGGAGGAAAAAAACGTTTTCATTCACAAAAAAAAATTAAAAACACGAGTGCGAAAACCAACAAATTACCTTTTATGTTTACATTTAAATGTCCTTAGTTTTTGTCTTTATTACACAGCACTTCAGGACCTTTTTTTAAACCTTGCATTTGACAAATATTTCATATACAAAAATCTAATTCGTGACTGGCTAAAACCAAGCAGTTTTGAAAACAAAAACTAACAAACCCGCTTTAAGAAACTAATTCAAACTAAAAACATTTAAAAAAACCAAACCCAAACTGAAATTAAAAACTAACTAAACTAAAACCCTGGCATAGGTGCATTTTACTGCCACACCTTTTGCCTCTTCTCGTGCACTGAACAACGCAAACGCTGGAGGATATTTTTGCTGCTTTTTTGGCACACATTGAAGAACAAGGAAGTTTGTTTGACATCCATCTTTTGTGACCCATTTTCTATTGATATACATTTTGTGAGACTATTGTTTTTCCCAATTATTCTGGTGCGATATCAGGTGTGCAATATTTGCCACGGGAGTCTGTCGAATTTAATTTGTCGAAAAAAACAAAACAAAATCACGATGACAAATATATCTTTGTTCCTCTATTTGTGTCCGTGACGTACAGTAACAGGCAGAACGTCGAAAGACTCTCCCATTCGTTGACAGAAAGTGTCAAATTTACAATTAGCGTCCACTTGCGGCGGTGCGCCATAGATTTGACCACGTCACGTCACGGCTACATTGCATATCCTGTTTCTCTGACTCACACAATGATGCATATCGCGAGAGGACCTTATAGGCGAGCTACTATCAGATGCTGCCACCAAAGGACCAATTCAACATTAGAGTAACCTTTCATATCGCCTCGGCAAACCGATGACTCATATATAAGGGACGGAGACTTGTTTTTTGTTCAGTTTTTTTTTTTTTTTTTTGACTGCGTTCATCGTAAGTTAACAAAGTTTTCTGAACGTAACACACCAGCATAGCAGCTAACCAGCTAGGCGTCGTATTAGCACACCATCTCTTTTTCTTTTTGGCCAGGCGTCGAGAACTAAATTTCGATTATTAACCGTCGACGTGGTTCTACTTATTGTGCTCGAACGACAGTCGTCGGGAAGGCGACGTTGTCCCCGACCGCGGAGTCTGGGAAGTGAACACCTGCTTTGACAGACAGCTGTTGTCAGTGCCCGAGTAGCAGATGCTACAGATTAGCTCAAAATTAGTGGAAACTGTTGACGTTATTGATGTTGGTGTGTACGGTTTGAAGAAAGATGAAGATAACGAGCTGTAGTGGGACTACGACGGGTTTCTTTGCCGAGTCATAAACAGTACTACAATGGTACACAATGTAGTTGAGGCTGTTTTCGAACATTGGATCAATTCCTAGGAAGGTGAAAATGTGAATGGTTTTCCGTCACTATGTCATCCATGAGACTGATTGGCAGGGGAGAAGCTGTAACTTACCCGTGACCATGAAAATGGAGGAAAATGAATTGCTGAATCTCTATGAATTCTTACAGGAACACTTCTCAGAATCTGAAAGTGATTGGACAGAGAAAGGAATAGCTAACTATTTTGTCATTCCATCTACTTCAGAACCACGAGGAGACTTAATTAGAATGAATTAATGAACTGTCATACCTCTTGTACTTGCAGAGTGGAAAAGTCTCGATCCCAAATCATGGATGGGTATGTATGCGTCATCTACAGTCAACTTACCGGTAGTCATCAACAGCGTATCATAAGTGACATTTTTCCCCCGCTGAAGGTTTGTTGGGGATCTGCTGGGTGAAGACAGCTCCGTAGTGGCACGCATGCAGAAGAAGTTCTGGAAGACCAAGCAGGTGCTCATCAAGGCCACAGGCAAGAAGGAGGACGAGTATGTAGTGGCTTCAGACGCCGACCTGGATGCAAAGCTTGAGGTACAAAAAGAGCGTGAAGACTGCTACAAATCAACCATGGAGAGGCAAAGAAAGAATATTTCTTTCCATATTTGCTTCCCTTGCGCAAACGGTTGGAAAACCTCCAAATAAACGGTTTAGTGGGCCTGTTGCTCTATATTTTTGGAGCTGTTTGATCGTTAGATAACAGGTTTTTCCGAAAGCCGCAAAATTGATTCCTGCAAAACTTTTGTTGAGCAACCCATTCAATTTTGTGTAGATCTGAAGAATCAAAGCACTTTTCATTTTCATTCCATTTTCATTTCATTTAATGTGTTTATATTTATTAGGAGATTCTTATATATGCACCTCTGCAGAGTGCCATTCTGTTGTTGAAATTCACTATTTTAAAATAGGCGGTAAAACGGTGATTCTCAACTGGTGGGTGGGTCGCGGACAGCTACCGTAGTAAAGACGTGACTTGTATTCGTATTCAGATTTTTTTTTTCTCCCTTCTCCGATGCAGCACAGACGTGTACCACGTAATATATTCGGAAAGGGACCAAAAAAAAAAAAAAAGTTACTTCCTTGTCGTCTAGCCAGTAATTTACTCTGTAGACACATGGAATGCAGTTCCAACTCATTTCTAGACATATGCTTTTGGCAATACATCAAACTCACTTGAAAGTGTCTTTCAAAATTTGAGACAGTCTGCATGCGTTTTCACGGGCTATATTTAACCCCCCCCACAAAATCTTCACTTCAATGAAAGTGGTTCGCAATTCTGCGACAATTGACTGCGTTCATCGTAAGTTAACAAAGTTTTCTGAACGTAACACACCAGCATAGCAGCTAACCAGCTAGGCGTCGTATTAGCACACCATCTCTTTTTCTTTTTGGCCAGGCGTCGAGAACTAAATTTCGATTATTAACCGTCGACGTGGTTCTACTTATTGTGCTCGAACGACAGTCGTCGGGAAGGCGACGTTGTCCCCGACCGCGGAGTCTGGGAAGTGAACACCTGCTTTGACAGACAGCTGTTGTCAGTGCCCGAGTAGCAGATGCTACAGATTAGCTCAAAATTAGTGGAAACTGTTGACGTTATTGATGTTGGTGTGTACGGTTTGAAGAAAGATGAAGATAACGAGCTGTAGTGGGACTACGACGGGTTTCTTTGCCGAGTCATAAACAGTACTACAATGGTACACAATGTAGTTGAGGCTGGTTTCGGACCTTGGATCAATTCCTAGGAAGGTGAAAATGTGAATGGTTTTCCGTCACTATGTCATCCATGAGACTGATTGGCAGGGGAGAAGCTGTAACTTACCCGTGACCATGAAAATGGAGGAAAATGAATTGCTGAATCTCTATGAATTCTTACAGGAACACTTCTCAGAATCTGAAAGTGATTGGACAGAGAAAGGAATAGCTAACTATTTTGTCATTCCATCTACTTCAGAACCACGAGGAGACTTAATTAGAATGAATTAATGAACTGTCATACCTCTTGTACTTGCAGAGTGGAAAAGTCTCGATCCCAAATCATGGATGGGTATGTATGCGTCATCTACAGTCAACTTACCGGTAGTCATCAACAGCGTATCATAAGTGACATTTTTCCCCCGCTGAAGGTTTGTTGGGGATCTGCTGGGTGAAGACAGCTCCGTAGTGGCACGCATGCAGAAGAAGTTCTGGAAGACCAAGCAGGTGCTCATCAAGGCCACAGGCAAGAAGGAGGACGAGTATGTAGTGGCTTCAGACGCCGACCTGGATGCAAAGCTTGAGGTACAAAAAGAGCGTGAAGACTGCTACAAATCAACCATGGAGAGGCAAAGAAAGAATATTTCTTTCCATATTTGCTTCCCTTGCGCAAACGGTTGGAAAACCTCCAAATAAACGGTTTAGTGGGCCTGTTGCTCTATATTTTTGGAGCTGTTTGATCGTTAGATAACAGGTTTTTCCGAAAGCCGCAAAATTGATTCCTGCAAAACTTTTGTTGAGCAACCCATTCAATTTTGTGTAGATCTGAAGAATCAAAGCACTTTTCATTTTCATTCCATTTTCATTTCATTTAATGTGTTTATATTTATTAGGAGATTCTTATATATGCACCTCTGCAGAGTGCCATTCTGTTGTTGAAATTCACTATTTTAAAATAGGCGGTAAAACGGTGATTCTCAACTGGTGGGTGGGTCGCGGACAGCTACCGTAGTAAAGACGTGACTTGTATTCGTATTCAGATTTTTTTTTTCTCCCTTCTCCGATGCAGCACAGACGTGTACCACGTAATATATTCGGAAAGGGACCAAAAAAAAAAAAAAAGTTACTTCCTTGTCGTCTAGCCAGTAATTTACTCTGTAGACACATGGAATGCAGTTCCAACTCATTTCTAGACATATGCTTTTGGCAATACATCAAACTCACTTGAAAGTGTCTTTCAAAATTTGAGACAGTCTGCATGCGTTTTCACGGGCTATATTTAACCCCCCCCACAAAATCTTCACTTCAATGAAAGTGGTTCGCAATTCTGCGACAATTGACACATTGATTCAAAGCTCCTCTTAGATTTGGAGATTCAAAAGAAGGCACAATCAGTTGCTGTCGTCACTGGTTTTCATTTGAATGTTTAAATTTTATTGATGAAGTGTTTTTCATGCTTTTATTATGACTTAAGTATCGCTTGCTGCATTGCGAGTGCTCAGGCGGCGTTCCGTTGCTGTTGTCCTCACGAGTGTCGCGGGCGTGCTGGATCTTATCCCAGCTGTCTTCGGGCAGTAGGCGAGGTACATGCTGAACTGGTTGCCAGACAATCATAGGACACACATAGACAAACAACCATCCGCGCTCACACTCACACCTACGGACGATTGACCGTGTTCACTTAACCTACCGTAGGTTTTGGGAATGTGGGAGGAAACCGGAATACCCGGAGAAAACCCACGCTGGCACGGGGAGAACATACAAACTCCACACAGGAAGGCCGTGGCCCAGATTCGAACCCATGACCTCTGCGCTGTGAGACGGACGCGCTACCTAGTCGACCACTGCGCCGCCCCAATAAAATACCCGCCACGGTCAAACAAAACAAAAAATTCCGCGTTATTTTGGTGGGATCAATCACAGAGTGGGCAGCGGGAGCTTGTGTCATCAATCGTGTGTGCGCTTAAATGAAAAGAATGAGGAATGACGAGGGAGTGAATGGCGAATAAATGACCTTTATTGCGCAGTCGGTTTACTCCTTGTGCAACAAATTTTAATCAGTTGCAGTTCGTATTAGAACCCAACATGAAGTCAACATTGACATTAGACAACATATCCAACTTGATAATAGAATTCATAACATGTGGTGCGTGGATGTGTCACCCTTCCCGTTCTGCTGTATTAGCTGGCAGAATACTGTAGACGGAATGGCCCCATGGAGCAAAAATGCCAAGTCATTTCTGTATAACAGTCTAGCTGACGGCAATTAAAATGCTAACCTATTTGCCGTTGGTCATAAACTGTCACACGTCAGCCATCTTGCTTGTTTGGTTCCCGCAGTTCTTCCGCTCAGTCCAGTCAACCTGCACTGAGTTGCTCAAGGTGATCGAGAAGTACCAGCATAGGATTACACGTGAGTTGAGAGTCCCTCCGTCGGCAAAACGTGAGTCCCATCCAAACCAATGACAGCAAAGGCTGCCAAACTGTTTGTCCTCGGCAGGTTTGTCGCAAGAGGAGAACGAGCTGGGCCTGTTTCTCCGCTTCCAAGCGGAACACGACCGCACCAAGGCCGGCAACATGATGGATGCCACCAGCAAGGCCCTTTGCGCCTCTGCCAAGAAGAGGCACGAGGCCGCGCGGATGATGGCGCAGCGGCGGTCGACGTTTTAAATGAATTTCAATTTGTCTTCACAGGATGGCGCTCTGTGCGCCGCTGAAACGTTTGCACCAGGAAGTCGAGACTTTCCGACGACGTGCCATCGCAGACACGCTCCTGACTGTCGGCCGCATGGAGAAGGCTCGCACAGAGTACAGAGGAGCTTTGCTCTGGATGAAAGACGTCTCTCAAGAACTCGACCCGGACACTTACAAACAACTGGAAAAGTTCCGAAAGGCAAGGGTTAACATCGTCCCACTCGGTGAGGGAGATGGTTGCTTTGATCGATGTGATCTCTTGATAGGTTCAAGGCCAGGTGAGGGCGACAAAGAGCCAGTTTGAGAAGTTAAAGAACGATGTGTGCCAGAAGGTGGACATGCTAGGTGCCAGCCGCTGCAACATGCTGTCACACTCACTTTGCAACTATCAGGTTGGCCCTACCACGAAATCTTTTTGTCGAGTATATCGTGCCAATTCACAAAAACAAGTGATCTAGAACCACTTTACACATTGCGTTGGTCAAAAAAAACCCACAATCACACATCACATATCCATGATCACGCTGGACCGGTGGCACGGTAGTTGACTGGTTACCACAGCCGGCTCACAGTACAGCGGTCGTGGGTTCAAATCCGACTCTAGCCTTCCTGTGAGGAGTTTGCAGGCTCTCCCCGTGTTTGCGTGGATTTTCTCCGGGTACTCCGGTTTCCTGCCACGTTTTAAAAACAAGCGAGGATGGTTGATTGAATGCTCTAAATCAGGGGTGTCAAATTCATTTTTGTCACGGGCCACATTGTAGTTATGGTTTGCCTTGGAGGGCCGTTATGAATTTTGGGAAACCATATAAATGTTTAATCACCTCCACATATTACATACACAGCGCACAACATGTAATTTGGAATTTTGGTTCAGACTTTAGCAAGCATTATGGAATTTGACATGCTTGATTTCCTTTTGCGGGCCGCATAAAATGATGCGGTGGGCCACATATGACCCCCGGGCCTTCGAGTTTGACACCTGTGCTCGAAATTGTCCCGAGGTGTGATTGTGAATGCTAATGGTTGGTTGTCTCATTGCCCTGGGATTGGCTGGCAACCGGTTCAGGGTGTCCCCCGCCTACTGCCCGATGACGGCTGGGATAGACTCCCCTTCTGCTTCTCCGCTCGAAGCAACCTCTGTGTCGCTGCACGGCGAACACCTGTTAGCGAGACACGTACCGCTGTACAACCTAATAGCGCTAAAGCTATCAAATAAACATACAATGCTTCACAAAAATAATACGCTTTATAATCTGGCGTGCGGCGGCCCGGTGGTCCAGTGGTTAGCGCGTCGACCTCACAGCGCAGGTCCAATAAAAATAAGGGCTTCATTCTTCTGCATTTCACGCACCTTCCCCGTCCCCGCAGACCACCCTACTTCACTTCTGGGAAAAGACCGCCCAAGCCTTGTCTGGCATCCACGATGCCTTCCAGGGACACGTGCCGTACCAGTTCACCACACTCAAGGTGGGTAGACGATGCTCTGCCCAAGATCCAGATTTTCAGCTCTGTCTTTATGACTTACTTATCCAATCCCCGGCAGGACCTGCGCGACCCATTGGAGCAAATAACCGCAGCGCAACAAGGAGCGCCAGATGACAAGGTTCTACAGGATGACACTGGCAGGTGGGCGAAACCAAATGACTCAACTCAAGCACAAATCGCGCAAGTCGAGTAGTTCGAGTTAGTTATCGGTGAATAGATCGATAGGTGTATGGATATTTTGATTGGTTCCGTGAGGAAAATTAAATAAATGTCTTTCAGGAATGATTTGGGTGGCCGTCAAAAAATTCAATTTCAGCAAAACCTTCAATGGGTTGCTGTACAGGCCAAATGAGACACATCTGGTATAGCCAAATTGCGGAATTTCCCACACCCTTCCCCCATAAATTTTCATCATTTGAAACAGCATGGGGTGGATGATGCAAATTTCCTCAAATTTGTAAGAAGGTTCACAATCCAAAATACTGTGCTCCACATTTGTTGACAGCTTTGATCCACTGAAAGCAATTCTCATTGCGGTCGAGGATTCAGCGTGATGAGCACATCTCAATATGTTGAACATATCTCACTGTGCCGGATGCGCACAAAGTCGTGACTGTTGCAGCGAAAAGACACGTTTCCGTCTGTGCTTACTACAGTTTGAGAAACATCTCACATGAGAAATATTTCATCCGACTGTGCAAAAATCTCTTTCGGAGTTGCTGATAAGTGTCTGGACTTTGGTTGTTCTAAAATACACGATTATTATTCAAAGTAGCCTTTGGTTTAATCCTCCCTAGTCTGGTGTGCTTGGATGACGAGGCGACGGGAAGTGCGGCGGACGCAGGTATGGAAGACCATGAATCGCAACACACTTAAAATCCAGTCACTCTCTGCTTAAACTCAATTCAGTTTCTGTCATATGCCATCGTAGAGTGCTGTACAACCTTTGTTGAAATGACTACTAGGGTGACGATTGTGATTAAAAATGTAATAATTTTTTTCCCAGCTCCTCTTCGCGTGTATTTTTTCCCCAACACATCTTAAATAGAAGTTGACCTGCTCCATTGGCTTTCCCAGGCCACATGAAATGATGTGACGGGCCAAATTTGGCCCCCAGGCCTTGGGTTTGACATTGAGGAACCATGAATTATTATGAAAGACGGTTTATCCACTTCAGGTAGAGCTGTTAACGTGCTCAACCCTTTCCCGTGCATTCTTTTGTGTTCATGACGACAGCTTCACAAAATTGGATGAGGAAATCGAGTTGGCTGACTATGAAACTGGCTCACCCGCTTGCCAGTCTGGCTGTCGAGCGACTCGTTGTTAGTTGTGGCCATCGGCCGCCACTTCAAGACTTGTGCCTCTTCTCAAAGGTGTTTTGCCGGACCCCGCTGGCACGGGGTCGGCACCGGAGGATGAAGACGGGGAACAGGGTGACATGGCCTTCCTCAAAGACTTGCTCAGCCCCAGCCCGGGGGTGACTGACGACTTCAGCAGAGAGTGGCAGGACGCTTTCGGGCTCTTTGACGCTCCCGCCGCCGCGGCCGTCGCAACCGGGCCGGCGCCACCGGCGGGCCACGCCGCCCCCCTGCC